TCCTGAATTGAACCCTAGCCAAACACTAGTAAAAAAAAAACGCATAGCTACGTTTTTGCCACGACGGTTCGTGGCTAAATTTAACTTAGCCACGCAATAGCCACGAAATAGCCACAAAAATATTTCCAAATAAACCGTGGCTTTGCCGTGGCTTTTCCGTGGCTACAAAGCCACGAATTTGTCTTGTATCTATTCGTGGAAAATGGAGCCACACCATAGCTACGATTAATTCGTAGCATAATAGTGACGATAAATAAACATGGCTAATTCGTGGCAAAACTATAGCCACCAACGCATAACATGGTTAAATCGTGGCTATGCCACTGAATTGTGAAAGACATTTAGTCACGAATAAAAACGTGGCTAAATTCGTGGCAAAACTATAGCCACCAACGCATAACATGGTTAAATCGTGGCTATGCCACTGAATTGTGAAAGACATTTAGTCACGAATAAAAATGTGGCTAAATTCGTGGCTTATCCACCAAATTTGTCAAGTTGCGGACAACACAGTGTTGGAAAAAATTCGAAAACTTTAGCCACGAAATAAGTTCACGGCTAGTTCGTGGCTATATAGCCCAAACACAAGCCCTAAAACCCTAAATTCAAAAAAAATCTAATTACTATAATGTATAGTATAAATTATACCGTATAATGTACCATAAAACTAACATCAAATTCTAATTAAAATATATTTTTAAAAAACTTTACCCCAAACTTTAAATTTTAATACGTTAACCCTATATCACAAACCATTAATTAACATAACTCCAAACCCTAAATTATATAAACTCTAAACCTTAAACTTTAAATTATTAATTAATTATATAAATTAAATCATAAACCATAAAACCAAAAGAGAACTATACTTAAAACCATTTACATATTTACTTTACATAAAATAAAAATAAAATAAACTATTTACGTATAAATTTAATTCTCTAAACTAACAATTTAATTACTATATCAATATTCAAAAGTAATATTCTAATTCCAAATTCCTAAAACTCAAATTTGAATCCCTATCTTAGAATGTGTAGACCTTTAACTTAGTACTCATACTTAAAAATAAACTAAAAACTATAAAACCAAAATTTGCCAAAACAAAGAAGTGAAGGCTTCTCATTGGGTAATCCATTGTGACAAGGATTGAACTTTGACTTATTATCCACCATCGATAGGATTAAATCCAACGGATGAAATCTTGTCCTTCTTTTAATTTTTTTTAGTGAAATGTTCTTCTTCTTCTCCTCCTCCTTCGTTCTTCTCCTTCTTCATTCTTCTTATTTGTCTCCTTCTCCTTCATTAAATCCCAGCAGCGAGACCATTGCAGCAAGCGACGAAACTAGTAAGAGGACTTCTCGTTTGTAGTTATCTTTTGCTACGCGCTTCATCTTCAGGTTAAGGCTGGATGCCTGGATTGAACCGGAAGTACAACCTGAAGTTTCTCTGGCTGCGTTGAGGTGTGGTGTAACCCTCGGCGAGGCGGATCGGTGGCCGGTGTCGGTTGCAGACAAAGTGTTTACGGCTGGATCTGGGCAGAGCTTCTGTTTCGGGGCGGCGGAGGTCTTTGGAGAAGTTTAGACGAAAAGCCACCGCCGTAGCTACCTGAAGACTAGATCTGGGGTGGAAATCGTCGGACGGCTCAGTGGGTAGCTAGTGTCGCGGTTCTTCCTCTCTACCGGATTGAAAATCAGCCAGCATCGGAGGCTCGTCGGCAAACGGATTATGGCTTTTAGTTAATAAAAAAAATTAACGAATGTCGACAAAAACAATAAAAATTAACAAATTTAATAAAGAAAATTCATTTTTAATTTTTTTTTTTTCTGCAATAGCCACAGAAAACCACTATATGAAATAGCTACAAAGCTATACATACATAATTTTTGTGTGGCTATCGATGGCTATTAGACACAACAAAACTGGGGGCATTTCGTGGCTACATTAGACACCAATTTGATCGTGGTAATTTGGTGGCTAATTTTGTCACGAAATCATAGTGACATAATCGTGGCTATAATTAGCCACGAAAAGTAAGTGACTAAAACATGGCTAATTATAGCCACGAAACATGAGTGACTAATTCGTAGCTAAACAGCCAGGAAAAGCCACGAAAAAAAAAAGCTACGAAGCTATAGCCACGAATATTTTTAGTAACTAGTCGTGGCTATATTGGCTTACAGCCACGAATTTTTAGGTGCAGCCATGAATATTGAAGTGGCTATGCGTATTTTTTTTACTAGTGAAACCCAAAAAATAGACAGAAATATACACCCCTAACTGGAGTCACAAAACTAAACAAAACCTAGGTAGAGTTAGCTTAACTGAAGAATTGTTTCAATTATATCGAATTTAAGACTAAAATGTAAAAATTAAATTTATTTATTATTATATAATGTGAAATCACAAAAAAAAAAAAAAAAAACAACAACAATTGGAACCAAATAGTAGCAAATATATAGAGCAAAGACTCCAATTTTTTACTTACAAAGAAAGATGTCAGAAAATACGAAATAGATAAATTTAAAATTTAACGTTTTCTATCTTACTAAATGATTTTTTTTAATTAGTCTTATTATGTAGGTTAAAAACTACATAGGATGGAGAGAAAAATAATAAAACAAAGAAAATAATGAAAGAAAAAAACGAGAAAGCAAACTCCCGAGAGGCAAAAGCAGAATAACAATGTGGAACCAACACTTCCATATTCATCCAAAGAACCTTGGGAAGCTCTTTTGTCCTGCCAACTATAAAAACAGACCCCCACCAAAAGGATCCACAGTTTTTTTTTTTTTTTTAAACAAAAAAGTATTATCTTATTTGTTTTTTCTTTTCTTTGCTCCAATTCCCCATGAACAGATTAGACAATCTTGGATTTGTCTGTACCCCGATTTTCTCTTGTCCTATTCAGCTAAGCGGTAACAAGACTAATAATAAGAGTCTGAGAAATAATTAACTCGCTTTAATTTAGGGATTATTGTTTCTTTTTACCATTTTGTAAACAAATCTAACAGATTTGTCATTGTAATTCAAATATTTTAGATTTGTCATTTTTTGCCACTTAAAAACTTAATATTTGAATGTTTTTAATAAATACTAATAAATAATAACAAATACTATATCCTCAAAAATATGGAACCAAATAAACCCAAACATAATATGTTAAATTGTGCTTTTAGATATAAGAAAATAACAAAACTAAATTATTTTAGGCAAAGTGACAAAATCTATAAATGCCACAAAAAAAATCGTTATGTGGTAATTGATTCTTTAGTTTATGGTGAGTCATATAATGTTTTTATTTTTTTGTAAACAAAAATATATTTATAAATCCAAATGGCTTGGCAAAAAAGGTTACAAGGCCCAAACAGCCCACAAATTAGGTAAAGCAAAATGGTGGCCAGGCGGAAGTGGAGCTCGAACCCGGGTCAAGTTACCGGAGACAACGACTCACGGCCAAGAATTCTGGCGTTAACAAAAAGCCATACTACGCTTCTCCTTCGGTGGCTCTAATTCTTCGATCGGAGCTAACGAATTCGGATCGAAAAACTAGAACCTCCGCCGGATCTTATATGTAAGTCTTTTCTTGTTCTGGACCTAACCGAAGACCAACAGACCCATCACTTTCTTATCCTTGACCTAACAACAAAAAGGATCTCGAATCTATGCCCCCACCTCCACCTCCGGTGGATCGATCCACAAACCAAGACTAAACATGCTTCCTCCGTACAAGACAAAAACCAGCTCGGTAGCAGTTAGGCAGTCGGCTCAACAAAACCATAACAACCAGGAATCCTAGCCAGCCAGTCCAAATCTGAGAAGACCAGCCGCTAATCGCCCCAACACTCGGTGAAACCCCTTCGATCCGCTTGTCGACTTCCTCCGTCCATCGCAGTTTCGAATCCGACACCGTGAACCGAATTATTACTAAATTTATTTTGCTTCGATAATAGAAATGATTTGATATGCAACTAAGTAATACTCTCTGTGTCCCATTTTATTAGATGTTTTGGTTAAAGGCATCGAGTCTAAGAAATGATAAATGTTTTCTCCTTTTATAAAAAATTCAACCAATACAAAAAATACTACATAATTCAAATAATCATAAACAATTAAATTAATATAAATTATGCATAGAAAGTAAAAAAAATCTAATAAAATGGAATAAAAGAAAAAAAAACGAAAACATCTAATATATTAGGACAAAGGGAGTATTTAAATTTTAATTAGGAGAGAGGGAGTATTATAAAGAAAAAAACCTAAAACGTCTATAATTTTAATTCAATAAAATATATTTTATATGGAATTAAGGTATTTTCTTGTATTGTCCTCTCTGTACTTATTTTTTCATCATATGTAGTAAATCTGTGGGAGTTTTGAATGAATGGTTAGAGCTATAATCTGGTGGTCAAATAGTAGTAAAGGGTATCCTCACACAAACAGAAGGGAGTAAATTCAATTATTCAAATAGTATCAAACACCTAAAGACCTAGACCTCTGAGCTTGTAGTAATTGTCCATGTTGCCACTCAACAAAACAAACATGTAGGGAAAAGACAAAGCACAGTTTTAACATTTTCACCGTTCAGTTTTATTTTAAAATATCTATAAAAGTAAAAAACCTTAAAAAAAAGACAAAAAGACAAAAGAGAAAAGGCAAAAAAAACAAAACAAAAACAAAGACAAAATACAAATATTAAATTAATCTGTTAATTAGATTTATTATTTAAAATTTAGGATACATTCCACCACTTGTTTTTTTTCCTTAACATCTTTCCACCACTTGTTTTAGCGAATGTAACTCCATTACAGTGAATAATCCAAAACTCATTTACTTATATAATCTTTTGGATTTATCACATGTGGCAAAAGTCTTGATAACTCCATCATAGTAGTTTACTACTAAAAAACAAAAACAGAAAAAAAAGAAGTGGACAACACTATACGATCGACTTAAATGCTTGCTTATATAAAGCATTCATCATTTACTATTTCTCCATCAACAAATCAAGAAGTTGAAAGAAATCTCTGAAAATGGCCGTAAGTTTCGTAACAACATCTCCTGAGGAAGAAGAAGACAAACCCAAACTAGGCCTTGGAAATAGTCAAACTCCATTAATCTTCAATCCTTCGATGCTTAACCTTCAACCCAATATCCCTAGCCAATTCATTTGGCCTGACGACGAAAAACCTTCCATCGACGTTCCCGAGCTTGATGTTCCTCTCATCGATCTTCAAAACCTTCTCTCTGATAAGGACTATACTTCTGCTTCTCCTTCCTCCACTTTAGAAGCTTCCAGACAAATCTCCGAGGCCTGTAAGAAGCACGGGTTCTTCCTCGTGGTCAATCACGGCATCAGCGAGAAGCTTATATCAGACGCTCATGAATACACGAGCCGTTTCTTTGATATGCCTCTCTTTGAAAAACAGAGGGTTCTTAGAAAACCCGGCGAGAGTGTTGGCTACGCAAGCAGTTTCACCGGCCGCTTCTCCACCAAGCTTCCATGGAAGGAAACCCTTTCTTTCCGGTTTTGCGACGACAAGAGCCGCTCAAAATCTGTTCAAGATTACTTCTGCGATGCGTTGGGACATGGGTTTGAGCCATTTGGGTAAAAGTTAAAACAGAGCAATAAACTAAAAAAATTAAAAAGAGAAAGAATCAAACATTTAACATGTCTTTTGTCCTTTCCTCTGTTTTTTTTAGAAAACGTCTTAAACCAATAACCGGTTTCTTCTATACCGACCACTGTACCGTAACTGTAGAAGACTTATGTTTTTGTTGTTTTGTGGTTGCAGGAAGGTGTATCAAGAGTACTGTGAGGCAATGAGTTCTCTCTCACTGAAGATCATGGAGCTTCTGGGGCTAAGTTTAGGCGTAAACCGGGACTATTTTAGAGACTTTTTCGGAGAAAATGATTCAATAATGAGACTGAATTACTACCCTCCATGTCAGAAACCAGATCTCACACTAGGAACAGGACCTCATTGTGATCCAACTTCTCTTACCATCCTTCACCAAGACCATGTCAATGGCCTTCAAGTCTTTGTGGAAAATCAGTGGCGCTCCATTCGTCCCAATCCCAAGGCCTTTGTGGTCAATATCGGCGATACTTTCATGGTAACCCATCTAAAGAAAAAACCTCACATCTTGGTTAGATATACACAGCCTTTGGCTAGGTATCACCATATACTAAACCGGGCTTAATCTCGTTTTGTAGGCTCTATCGAACGATAGATACAAGAGCTGCTTGCACCGGGCGGTGGTGAACAGCGAGAGCGAGAGGAAATCACTTGCATTCTTCTTGTGTCCCAAAAAAGACAGAGTAGTGAAGCCACCAAGAGAGCTTTTGGACAGCATCACATCAAGAAGATACCCTGACTTCACATGGTCTATGTTCCTTGAGTTCACTCAGAAACACTATAGAGCAGACATGAACACTCTCCAAGCCTTCTCAGATTGGCTCACCAAACCCAAGAAATAAAATATCCATGTCTCTTGTCTTGTTAGTTACTAGCTACTACTATCTTCTATATATTTCATGTATGTATATATATGGTAATATGCAATAATAACACCTTTAGCATTTCATTTATTAAATCCATCCGTTAAACTACCATACAAATTAAATACACCCACAACTATTTAACAAATCAAGAAGATATGTGTAAAGATCAATCATCCATCTAAATTTTAACGAGGATATATATATCGATATCGGAACAATTGGTTTAGCTATTAGCAAGTTTACGGAACCGGAGAAGACAAATCGATACAAACACAATGAACACACCAACATCTACGACAAATGATTACAAATTAAGGTTAAAGAGAGTAAGTGAGTAACTATGTACATCATGCATCATCTTGGAGTTTCATCAGAAAAAAACAAACATATGGGACACCATATACATAGGTCCATATATAGCCTATAATTATATAAGAATGCTTTCTTTCTCACAATCATAAGACTTCCAAGTCCTAAATGATAGATATATGGATTTGCGTGTTTTAGTTCAAAGTAACCACAATTATTGATTTTCATGTCCAAGCAAAAAATAAAAATTAAATCTAGTTTACATTGAAAAAAACTCCATAGTTGTGAGCGTGTTTCTATAGTTGGGTCTCTAGGAAACAACACTTTCTATCGATGTCACATATTGTTTATTATTAAAAGTCACCACTAATTAGAACAATTTTAACTATGAATTTTTAGTCCTGCAGTGATCAATCGAACCAAAAAAAAAAAACTGAAAACAAGTTACAAAAAAAAGCGATTAAGATGCCGATGAGAGGCAAAAACCCTGACCCTAGGAAATATCGACCATAATTCATTTTTTCCACCGTCTGTTCGTTTAAATTTTTTTTGGAGAGATATCAGGTATCTAAGAGGAGTAACTTTTATATGCAGTTCAAACTCACGTTATGGAGTGTAGGTGCATTTCCAGTGAAATAGAAATAATTAATTTATTCTACACAAATAAATAAAGTGGCAAAATGGTTAGGAGTGCACCTAATAAATGTAGAAGGTCCGCCCCTCATCATCGGCCAAATGACTTAAAATAAACATGTAGCCGGGGAGGACCAGTTCTTGACCAGCGATCACCCGGCCTTCTTTTCTTAGACGTTAAAATTTGTTTTTTATGTTGGTCGACGTTGCTGAGAATAACAGTTTTATGTTAGTAACAAGTATAAGTGAATGGCATGTTGAACTCGTGAGGTGAGGAAAAAAAAAAAAAACTCGTCAGGATATGCCTAGATAAGATTAGCATGATTTTGCGGTTCGGTATTGAAAACAGTGGATCAACATGAATTTGCATGTCAAACTCGATATAGGACACGTTTTGATTAGATCAGAATTTTCAAAAGATCGAGATAAGGACTAGAACCATCGAGATAGACATGATCTAATTTCCATTTCTTTTTCTAAGACCTTTGAGTTTGGGCTAAACCCGGAAAAACATCCCAGCCAGAATGGTCTTAGTCCAAAAAGTCCAAAATTTGGGGATAAGGTTACATGGGTTTTGGGCTTCAGTCCTAATTGACAAATGACAAACGACAAACGTCATGGACCAGCGTTTAGTTTATTTTGAAAAGTACGTGATGCATGTTTCTTTAATGTATTTTACATTATCGTGTTAGGTTGATTTGCTTAAACACTTTAAAAGTATAAATCAAGAGAAAATTTTCCTTAACAGAAATCGAGTGGCGTCACGTTCTCCTTATGGGCTATTAAATATTAATGGGCAAGTCCACTATTTATTAGGTTGGTAGCCCATCCGTCCGTTTTAAATTTGAACCTCATCCGTAGATCTTAAAATCATTGTTTTTTTTTTGTTTTTTCTTGTTTTTTGTTTTGGCATGGTCCAAAAATCATGTTATAATTATACTTCATGTATATAGTTGGTTTTACCTTGGTTTAATCTTTTGTATAGTTCGGTTAGCATAGTAATTTAGTTTCACTTGTATTTCATCTTATCATTAAATGAAATTTTTTTTTTACCCAAATTCAGTTTCATCTTTTGCTCTCTCTTTCTCTCGATCTTGTTCATGGAAAAAGCTAATACTTCATGTATAATTTCTTGCGTTTCACACAACCCTGGTCTTGGGCTAAACCCCGTAAAGGCAAGGATTTTAGGCATCACAAGGTTATTAACTTTTTAGGGGCATCAATTTCTGAAAACGTTGAAGTGTTGTAGTAGAAGTGGTGTAGTGGTCAAGCCTTGTATTATCCTCTCTTCAAGTGACCAGTTCGACTTCTAACATTGCTATTATTTCTATGTATATATTTTGCAACAGCTTTTATTAGTGGACCAATTTTTTTTTTTTTTTTTAAGCACTAAATAGTTTCGGCTGACGGTGCTATTTCATATATGCAATTATTTTGGAATAGAAGCAGAAAAGCTTCAATAATATCTTTATAGGAAAAAATATTCTCTTCGTTTCAAAATATAAGATGTTTTAGCTACTTACACGCATATTAGAAATCACTTTTAAAAAGTTCAACCAATCATAAAAATATGTATAATATAAATAATAAAAAAATATTAAATTAATATATAATTTACTTAGAAACTTGAAAATATCTTATATTATAAAAAAGAGAGAGTGGAAAGTAATACAAAACGATAGACGGAATAGCAAACTAGTTATAGGTTTGTATGTTTTCACATGTTGTACTTGTTTTATAGAACTTACTAGATCATCACCCGTACTACAGTACGGGTTAAATTTTATTTATTACAAAATTTATATATTATATATTTTAGAATAAAGTTGTGATATATTATAATAGTAATTGAAAAAATATAATTAGATTTTTGTCAGTCCCTATATATAATATTAGAATGAATATCTTTTTTTTTAATTATACTCAATTATGGATTTTTTTTAAAGATATGAAAACAGAAAATAAAATTATTTTAATAAATTAATATAGTCTGAAAAATGAGTAAATTTATATTAACAACCACAAAATGAGATTGCATATAATTCAGTTAGATCAAAAATCAAAATATTATAAATGAATCGCTTCTAAAACGTAGATTATTTTTAATTAATTAAGATAGTTAGCTATTATTTTGAATTAATTTAGAAAATTCTTTTTTCAATTTCTAATTCTTTGGTTGTTGAAATAGAGATTTGTTTGAGGTAACTACGGAATTTATCAATTATTCGCGTAATCGAATATGTTATGAACATATATTTAGTATATAATATACCAAATTCAACCCGTGCGTGGAGTCTATATTTTTATTTTAGAATCCTAATGAAAATATTGCGTGCACAATCTATTATTCGTTATTTCCAAAATTGCTTGCACAATCAAATTTTCAAATATTTTGAGGTGTCAACCTTATTTAATCTATCTGATCATATAATCTTAACATGCCTTCTATTATAAGGATCATAATTTTATATCATATAATATATTACATGTAACCCTCCGCCTACTATAACTATTTTAAATATATCTTTTTAGAAAATTATAGTATTTATAATTTTTTTTATCTTTTTAATCTATTAAATATTTATGAATTATGATATTCATTAAAATATTAAATTAAACTATTTTTAAATGTTCCAATTAAAATCTTTAAAAATATTTCTTTTAGTATATAAAATTATGAATTTCAAAAAAGAATTATATGAAATTAAATAGAAATATTCAAACAATTATAAGGATCATAACTCATTTGTTAATATAATATATTATATTTAACCCACTGCCTATTATAAATATTTGTTTACAAAAATCAAATTAGAATATTTATTGATGATATTCTTTAAATATTGATGATATTCTTGAAAAATATCAAGTAAAACTAATTTTATATGTTGCAAATTAAAATGTTTAAAAATCTTATTATAGTATATAAAATAATACATTTCAAAAAATAAATGTATGAAATTGAATATAAATATTCAAATTCTGACCCGTTACTCAGTCTAAATTTTTGTTGAACTTATTTTTGGTTAAAAGAAATATATTACTCAAATGTGAATTTTTGACCCGTTAAATTTTTTTCTTCATAGATTTTACAATTTAATTTCGTTTTTAAAAATTCAAATCTTGGCATATGGAGAAAAAAATTATTTTTTTTTGTTTATATGGATGATATGATGATTTATTTGTTTCATAAAAATAGAATCATATAAAGATGAGAGATGAACTATAATGATTAATAACAAATTAATATGGTAAGTTAGATATCAAATCTTATATGTTCATTTTGATTGGTCATTCTTTTTTTTAAATTAATAATATATTTTCGTTTTTAATAATTAAATTAATTAAATTGCATAAATTAGTATTTGACTTGTTTATCCTTAATGAGCTGATTTAATTTACTCTTTAAATTTTTATCTCTAATGGCATTCTTAAGTAATTTTTTACAAATGAGAAGGTTAGTTAAGGGTATCTTATAAAGTGTACTCCCCAAATAATAGTATAGGATTTGAATTGTTCAACCCAAAATCATTGATTGGTAGGTAAGAAATCGTCCTTAGTTGATAATCATATATAACACATATATAACTGGATCATTCCATTTCTGAATCTCTCGGACATGACACCAACTGATCGAGAAGTACATGATGATCGTGTACGTGTACATGAGGATATGTTTGGCTACAAATCACTATCATATATTATGGGGTTAAATTAAGCCCCACACGGACACACACAAAAATAAAATAAGTTTTGGTCAACAGTACTTATAAGTAAAAAGCTAGAAAATATGTACACATATTAGCTAGGTTGTATCATGTCTTGCTCTCTAACTATATATATTGTAAAAAAAATTTTATCATTAGATCCATCTAAAAACTTAATTAAATATCAATTAAATCAGCCAATTAAAAAAAGATTATAAAGTTTTCCATTTTAGTGGTTCATAATGATATTATCGTTTTATGAATGTGAAAAAAGATAACGTGAACCCTTTATAAATTAGAGTGTATATATGTATAGAATTAATGTACTGAAAAAGTGTCCAGTCATTTAATTACTTTTTTTTTTTTGGTTTTTTTGATAAAATGTAGTTTAAATTTTGAACTGATGATAGAGATGGAATTAATTTTTTTTTTTTTTGCAGCGTAATTAATGCTTCTATGTTCTATATTATTGTTATTAGTTTTCCTAGATACTTGGGAATAATATAGGTTAAATATTATGAATTCTTAATATAACATTAAGATATTGTCTGGGACTATCTTTATCGGAACACAATCCGATTTGATGATCATGAATTTGTTGGACGGCATCTCGATCTCTTCTTCTTCTTTTTTGTTGGGACGGCATCTCAAAGTTTGATATGAGAATTTTTTTTTAACAACCACACATTTAAATTAAAATAAGACTCCTAGTTGATATTTAATTAATTTAATAACCAATAATGATATAACTAAAGATATCAAACGAATATTAAGGAGATCTCAACCACTCATCATGCGTATCTCTTAAGTAAGTACTTAAAACATTTGAACTACTGTCAACTTCGCTCAAGTTCGTGACATGTATTAATTAAAGTGGATATTTAAATCTAGATTAATGAGATTTTATTAAAATAATATGTGATTCTGTTCATATGCTTATGGGTACAGGGTACTTAGAAAAAGAGGAGGCAAAAGAAACCAAGATTTTGGGGATATGTATAATACTGTGTCGTATCGTGAATTACAAAATAAAGGAACATATTGCAATTGAATATTAGATAATCTTCTAAAGTATCTTAACAAAAAAATAAGAATATCTTAAATTTTTGATTCTTGAATAACAAAAGTAAACTCAAGATTAGAAAATAGTAAGGTGGTTCTATTAGATGCATTGAACTTAGCCTTTTATTTATGGTAACTGGCAAAATGCTTCTTATCTCCGAAAAAGCATCGTATAAATCATAATCTTGTATAATTAAGTGGTCTGAGTTTCACATTTGTTATGTCATTTACATTGTCATTTGATGTTGTGAGGCATGTGCTTATGAATTTTCACGTATCCTGATACTTGCGTATATTAGTCATTTAAATTTTCAAAATAGTATGTATGTTTGTGTTAGGGTTATCAACTCATGCACGTATTTATACACTCAAACGATCTTTTTTTTGTGTGGGTAGTATTACTATCGATCTGTTGATATATTAGTTATCTGGAACTTGTATCTTACCACTTTCAAACGATTGGTTTTCTCGTGGTTAGTATTATCATTGTCTCTAGATCTTTCTTTGATATAACTCAGTATGTCGTAGAGATAACAGCTATGTTTCTTCTCAAATTCGCAGTTTTATGTGTGAACAATTCACATAAAATATGGAAGCGCACCTAGGTGATACTGATAGCGTACAGAAATCAGTTGTTAGGTTGGAAACAACCTTGCAGATTCCGACTATAATAGAGCCCAAAAGTTGGTTTCCACGTACACTTGCTTCATATATATACTCATCCGATGTTATTGTACTGGCCTTTATTTTACTACGCCCTTTCCGATTTTCCTTCCAATATATAGGTCGTCTTAGTGATTCATGCATATGTATTATATAAAACCTTATTTCCATTCTAAAAAATGCAAGAAAACATAACAATGGAATGATACAAAATGTTATAATGAAAGGGAGACGAAAATTGGCTTATCTGTGAGAAAAAATGTTCTACTGAAAACATCACACCCTTGGGTCTTTAAGGCGGCGAATCAGGCTAATCATGGTGAAGTTATGATCTACCCATAAAATCCGTTTGAACATAACAGCATGGTACGCACTTGTACTTATTTAAACCAAAGCTACACCTCAATCCACGAATGAACTTTAAAACCTATGCACCTTCCTTGCTCTCAAGATGAAATTTCAAGAAGACTTTAGATATTTTTCTGCATTAAAAATACTGTGAGCTTAGTTAACTAATTAGTAAACCGAGGTTGTTATGTTGTAATTAAAATGCATGAACAAAACTACACCATATCTAACATTGCATATATTTGTGTCCCATATTGATGAACTAATAACATGTACGAAAACTATTGTTCATATATAAGTTTATGAACAAGAGGATAATAATTGGAGCTACGAACATATGATATCTACAAAAATAAAAAACTGTAGATTTAGCTAAAGCTCACACCTACAAATGAAACAAAGAGCTCGGGTAAAAGAGATCATACGATGAAGACCGTCTTTAGGACTACAAAAGTTGTGTTTCTGATTAGTACCCCGTCGAAAGTATCAAATCCTCAACTAGCTTCTGCTGCAACCAAGCTAAGTCTATGCATCCGAAACTATTAACCTGTATTTAATATTGTTAGATATAATGAAATCCCTAGATTAACTTCGATTGACATGTTGTAACCATACCTCGACTTGAATAGTGTGCATGAGCCGCTCATTGACTCTTGTGGTGAGAGAGCTCATGACTTCAAGCCCTTTCTCCTGAAGTGTCTCGAGCACTCTTGAGAGTGGCAAAGCTTCGGGGCCTGCGGAGTTGCTGCTCACTACCACTTCTAAACCGCTCACGTGTGGTTGCACCATCACAGTCGCCGGCTCCGATCTGCCTAAATCGGATCCAGTGTTTGCTGAATCCGGATTGGATTTATATCTCTGACCTGTTTCTCTACTTAGCTCGTCTCTTCTTGCACTGAGTTCTTTAATCCGTGTTTCCGTGTCCTTTATGAAATTTACCGCTCCGTTTACATGATCCGAAACAGCTCTTTTTCCCTATAAATAAAGATACAAATACAAAATTAAATTAAATACAAAAAGGGGACATATTGACAACCCTAGCAGCCAAATCTCATCAAATCTTGGTTTCTTCGAACAATTGATATAAGGAAAAGTAAATAAAATTAGAGAGAAAAAAAGAGTGAGTAAGAGTATGAACCTTGATGTATTTGAGAGGTAGGTGAGTACGAAGAGTAGCAAAGAGTGTGGCCATTTCTTGTCTTCTTTGGCGTTCGATGTCGCGGTGGAGAAGCTTCTTCTTCTTCTTATTGTCATCTGTTTCATAAGGCATACCTGAGCCGCCGCTGCTGCCGCCCTCGCCGGATGAGCTAAACCGTCTCTGTCTCTGGTACCCTTTCGGATTAAGATTCTGATAAGGATCCATAGTTTGATACTTAAGCAATGTCAGATCTCCAAAGGATTTTGTGGTTCTGTCTTATGATAATTTAATTTCTTTTATTGTTTACTTGTTGAAGGATGATGCCTTAAAAGAACCAGATGGTTCTCTCTATCTCCTTAGGTGAGAGGGAGGACCATTATTTAAATATTAAATGATTACACATTAGGAGGACCAAATAATGCAGGTTCCGGTATTACTCTTTTTATTTTCATAAATATTTATCAGTTGTTTTTTAAATGGCCTCGGGCTTGAGTTCTTTGGCTTTTTGATTAACATTTTTACCCAAGATTTAATTAGTAAAGAGTTTGACCGACCGGCCATCGGTAACATGTGTGTAAAAAGGTCCTCTATATTTGAAAAGTATCTTTTGCTCGCACCAATATCATGCATTATACGGATTTCAACCTGGTTAATTTGTAACACAATCAATAATAACAAAACTACATACCATTAGATTGTAAATTATTGTCAAACGGATACAGAAATAGTGACTAATAACACAAAAAGTTGCAATTTTTTTTTTTTTAACTGCCACAATTCACATTTTCCCTAAAGAAATTATGCTCTCATACGACTAGGAAGGACTGGAGAATATAATTATTTGACAAATGTCGACGTGAGAGCCCAACCATGTCTTAAGATTCGGATACATGAAAACAAAAGATCAAATCTCAACCGTTGATGATGTTGCGATGGTCGCATGTGGGCTCCGATCATTACACCTGCTCACACTGCAACTAGTCTTTTTCACATGTTTATTAAACGTAACATATCCATTGCGTATCAGATATACATATAATCTAAAGAGATACTGTCCTTAAGAAGATACTATTACAAATTATAATATGCTTTGAATATAAATACGATGACATCCTTCCACAGTTTCCATTATTTTTAAAAGTAAGCCTTTTGGTAAAGGGTTATCCTTTCAAGGCAAAGCAAATCCTTCTTCTCTGTCACGAATCCCCTGCTACCTTATTTTTTATATGTATACGCATATTAAGAGAGTCCTTCTCTGTCACGAATTTAATATACTGCCTCATAAAACTTCTAAACCGTATAAATTTGTAAAAAGAAAAAAAGATACTCCATTCATTCACTTATATTATATGATACGTTCAAAAGCTCCTTTTTTGATGTAATACTGTATATAATAATTCCTATTTTAGCAAAAATATAATAGTTCTTATGATTGATATTAAATGCGTTTAACCGCAATTGTCTACAGACAATGTTTGCAAATGGTCATAGGAGAACAAATCAACCTTTGTAAATTGTTTCTAAGACGCGAGTTTTTTCTCTAGTTTTATTACAGTTAAGGTAACATTAACAATGCAAATATATATATTTTCAAAATTGGTAATGTGATCTGGGACTTGACACTTGAGATCAGATGGCCAATTTTAATCTTATATAATTAAAACTTAGAAGCATGTTGTTTTTACGTATGACCAAATGTCGCATGTCAAATCGATGATTGTCGGAAAATATGGATTATGGAAAGTTATATTTATTCCTGATCATACACAAAGTGCGTTAGTAGGAGTCAAGACTAAACTAAAGACCATCTCTTTAGACTTTTCTATCGGACGGTTGCAAACAGAAGCCGCAATTTCTACAGTAACAAACAATTTTTTTAATTTTTTTTTTAAGTTTGTTCAAACGAATTAAAATATGGTGTTTGAAGTTAAAGTACCCTAATGATGTGGTAGATTGTTGACAATACAAAATTATTACTAATATCCCCAGCTATATTCTTTATTAGCGTCATCATACATTATTAATAAGTTTTTCTCTAAAACAATTTTTTCTGTTTAAGCTTTAAAATGACACAATTTTAAAAATTCTAAAAATATTATAATTGTGGTTTCAAAAAGGTATTGTAAAATAATTAACTATTTCCAAACTTGGCTAATTCCGCCCAAACCCTCAAGGCCGGGCCCGTCAATTTTTTAAAAAATTATTTACAAAGAACTAAAACAAAGTTGATTAGTCAATTTAGCTGAAATTGTTTACCAAAAGTCTAATAAAAGAAAAGTCAACAGTTCCAGAGTTAAAATATTTAAATCGATCATAGATGTAGCCGTTTTCATTTTTCAACTAAGCGGCACAATATCAATTCCCTATTCCTTTTCCTTCTGCATCAACTGTATAATCATTAGTTAATTTTGAGATTACAAATCCGGAGTGCGTAAAACACAACCCTAATTAACTATTTGCAAGAATCAAATCATAGTACACAACAAATTTGTACCTTAGTTTGTAACAGTTCTTTTTGTCTGCATAATTTATGTAGACAAATTTGTGTACTATGATTTGTAAACAATTCATAATTTATGTAGACAAAAAAAACTGTTACAAATCATACCATTCAAACTTATTCTGTTATAAATTATACCATTAATATTTTTATGTGTACTTAGCTTATTAAATTCCACCATTCAAATTAATTGTTTAATTAAGGTTTCAAATTAATTGTTGTTTAAGGTTTTTTACGTGTATTAAGATTAAAAAAGTACAACAAAAGAGATAAATTTGTAATGTCTGACAAAAATCTGCATAAACATAGAATAACAACTAATTTGAAACAAAATTTAAATTATAAAAACAGAGAGTATATCATGATTCCACAGCGTAGGTACCCTTATACACCTTATAAAATATGTAGCTAGAGAAGAAATACATTATTTCTTTTCAAAATCTGCAAAACCCAAATATAAATAAAAAGACACAATACAGTACTAAGAAACCATATGTACATCGTTTTGATGGAGAAGTTAACTGAAAAAAACGTTTAATTACTTCATTAGGGTAAGTGTATCCTTAATGTCTGCTAAGTCGATCAAAGCCAGATCATTGACCTGAACATTAAGGAAAATTAACTTCACATATTAACTCAAAAATATACTTTGTACCAATAAGTAATGCGAAAGAGCTATGAAGAAATGTATGCTTATATTCCATTCCAAATTAGGACACAAACACCATTGGGGTTTGTAAGACGACAGGATCCAAAACATAAAGTTAGAAATATAAGTGTTGCTCTATATTCTCAGTAAAGTTATGGTAATGTTTCGATTGCTGTGAAGTTAGTAAGCTCGAGATATTGTACCTCAGCTCGTAGAGTGTGAATGAGTCTATCATTTACACTGGAAGAGATGCAGCCAAGAACACAGAGACCGTGTTCACGAAGCACTTTCAAAACGCTTGAGAACGGCGTTTGGAGAACGCTAAACACGATCTCTATCCCGACCAAACACGGACGAATGATCACGGTATGATTCGAAATCTGATTCCAGTCTTGTTCATTACTACTCCCAAAGCTTCGTCCAGACAATAGCACGAGGTCATCTCTCTTGGAACTTATGTCCTTGATATTCCTTTGCAAATACTCAATGTAATTCACCGCCCCGTTCACCTGATCTGCTGTCGAACGCTTTCCCTACAAAACCAAACAAAGAGAGGAAAAAGATGTAGAGGTCAACTTTAGCTTTGTTATCTTTAGGATGTTGTGATGTTGAAGTGTTGTTAGCTAGAGTTCCAGTGACTCATTTTAACAAAATTAGCGACAAAGCATACTTGTGGAGTTTTTTCATTAACAAAAAAAAAATATGAAGAATCAAAAGCAAGACTAATTTTTAGGGTTTTGACCTGGATGAACTCTAAAGGGAGAAGAGAGCGGAGAGACGTTTAAAGAGAAGCCATTTCTTGTCTCCTTTGTTTCTCAACTTCTTTGTGTACTATCTTCTGCATGATTTCTTCACTACTAACTCTCGGCTTTTTACTACGCCTTCTTTTCTTCTCCTGATCAAAAGTATTCATCTAAAATCTCTAAAAGTCTATACGTTAATTATTGTGACAAAGATTCTTCTTGTAATTATAATAATGGTGATGATGAGACAGCAGGATCTGATCTTGTGCTCTGGGATTTGCTATAATCAGGGATTTGTTGTAAAGTTGAATAATATGGGAGTCGGAAAAAAGTTAGTAAAAGGGTTTTGTTTATAATATTCAAGATCAAGAAAAAAATATACGTTATTGGTAGGCGTATCTGAAAAAAGATGGAAAAAGAGGTTTATTAGGGTAAGCAATGACGTTTTTCTGCTTCATCATTAATTTCTTATCTCATTAATCGATGCTAATAGGTTCCCTTCAACATTCCATTTCTTACTATTTATCATTTTCAATTATTCTTTTAGAGATCGTACAATGACATGTCTATTTTCTTATTATATATACATATCATATTATATTGTACGATCATAGATATCTGATATCTCTGACATAGGTACCAGCTCTGAGGCCATATCTTGGACCTTATTCCCAAAAATGATTGAATATCACTTTAAATTATGGAGAAATATGATTTATATAACGTTATAAAAATACATAGGACATAATGTAGTAGTATTTGATAAGAATTAGTTACTGCTATTGTTTTTGTTTTTTGGATGCTAAATAAAAGTATATGTCATTATTTCTAGTATTGCTCTGGTGCAATTGTTTTTTAACGACCGCCCAAGCCGAAAGCAAATGAATAATTTTTTTCTTCTTAGTATTGAAAATCTAAAATGAAAAACAAAACTAACATTACTATAACTCTTTTTTTTTTTTTTTTTTTTTTTTTTTTTTTACATTACTATAACTCTTAACGCTTTTCCATTTGTTTTAGTTAAAAAACTTAAAATTGTTGCAAAAACTATTTTCTTTTTAGTGAACTATTTTGAATAAAAATACTATTTTTAATTTTGTTTTCTAAACATTATACAACAACTTTTTTAAAAAAATACATAATGTTAGAACGATTTCTTAACCCGAAAAAGATTTTTAAAACCTAAAAATATCCCACTGGCCACTACTAGTAAATATTCTAATCAATTTATGTATGACATTTCTTAATAATTGAGTTTCAAATGAATCTGATACATGGTAAAGGCAGGTTCCAAATATCTAGTATTCTTGGAAGCTGGGCCAAATTATGAATATACTATATATATAACTGCCAAATAAATGGAATAAAGAAGAGAAATTCAAGAAATCTTTGATGATTTTAAGAAGAAAACAAATAAGAAAGATTGAAGATGGGCTCAGCAAGGCCCATGTCCATATATATAAAGAACACAAACTGCCGGCTCCCAACGACCCAATTTGGTATTAACTCGATTGGTTTACAGTACTCTTAAAACTATTAGGCCCATAGGATTTGTGTGAGGGTGTGACCTTGAATGATTGATTTTTGGAGGTGGAAGAAGTTTTTAGCCTCTTCAGCTGATAATCCAGTTGAGTCCCATGTAAGTTTAAACGTGTACAAAAATTACATAACTAAGAATCAATGTCAATAATGCGTGTGAAGAGGGAAAAAACAGACTAACTTAGAAGAAGTTGGAAAGTATTGTGAAATTAAATTCAAAGTTCCTAAAACTGAAGTTAACCAAAGTGATTCTTAAGTTAATCAACGGCGCTGCTTCCTCACCGTCTTCAATGGAGGCGATGGTGAGAACTCGGTAGGCAACTCTGGTAGATTAACTTCTCCTTTAAGCATTCCCAAAGCCTCTTTCATTGACGGTCGTGAAATCGGCAATCTTTGCAGACACAGCAAGGCCACCTTTATGCACAACACTGCTTGTTCTTGGTCTAAATTTTGCAACTTTTGGTCTACAAGATCAAGTAGTTTCCCTCTTCTCGCCAGCTTCCTCGCCCAAGACATGAGGTTTGCCCTTTGGATCTCGCTCGCGGATCCTGTCATCTCCAACGGGCGCCTCCCGGAAATCAGAACTAACAACAGAACACCGTAGCTATAGACATCGCATTTCTCAGACACATTGTTTTCTAAGTTACAATACTCAGGCGCTGCATAGCACACAGTTCCTCTCATGCTCGGCGTGCTACTGATTCCGCAGCTCTTAGCTATCTCACCGCTCACCGAGTCATGGCTATTTCCCCTTGCTCTCGACCACCGTTCACCACTTACACCCATCTAACCACCAATCTATGCTGCTACCACTACCACTACCACGCCGCCATTGACTCACACTACTACTCCCATCATCACTACAAAATTCAGCTTCTAAACTCGTCTTCTTCTTCTTCTTCTTTTTATTAGCGAGTTCTCTACGATACTCATCTTTCCACCACTCTCTAACCATCCTCCGCTTCTTCCTCTTCTTCTTCTCATCCTCTTCCTCTAGTGACAACCACCATTCTAGTCTCTTACTAGTCTTCTTCTCAAGTTTCTTACTTGACAACGAAGACAAAGCTGTTGCCTCAATCCAATCGTTTCTGCTCGGTCTCTCCTTCTTAACCTCTGAACCAATCCATTGCATCACATACTCCTTCACTTTCCCTCTTTCAACATTGCTCTCCTGCTTCCACCACCAATCTTTGCTCTCAGTCTCTTTCCCCTTCCTTGTCACCACAACACTACCACCATCCTCATCCGTTTTCTCCCCCATTTCCGGAGAAACAGAGACAAACGTCGTAGTCTCCGGAGAAGCACTCACAGACCCAGGAACCTTAGCAACACTTTCCGGCGACTGATCAACCAACCCAAAGTTACAATCTTCATAACCAGTCACAGTAGTTATCACACTCTCTACTTCTTCAACCATAGATCCATCACCATCACGCTCCGGCGCTACAGTAATCTCCACTTGCTCCGGTTTCAACCTCGCCAGACCAAAATCAGCGATTTTGGCAGAGAAGAGATCATCCAATAGAACATTGCTAGGCTTTATATCACCATGAATCACAGGTGGTTCAAGACTATGAAGATGCTTAATCCCATCCGCAACGTTAACGGCAACCAAAAACCTCCGATTCCAATCCATAAGCTCAGGGCATCTCCGGTGAAGCAACGCGTCTTGGAGGTTACCATTGTCCATGAGCTTGTAAACAAGAAGCAAACGTCGTCGTTTTCGATCGTGAGAGAAGCCAATCACAGGGACAACGTGAGGCGAGTCAAGTTTGGCGGCGAAGAACAACTCGTTTTGAAACTCACCTTCTCCTTGAAGAGATCCTGAATCCATTACTTTAACGGCTACATTCTCGCCGCCGGAGATAGTTCCACGGAATACAACGCCGAATCCGCCTTGACCTAGTCTATTCGCCGGCGAGAAAGATGCGGTGGCGCGACGGAGAGACGAATAAGAAAACTCACGTGGCGATGATTTCCGTGGCGAAGAGGAGGCGTTTTCCGCCGGAGGTGATGAACGTTTCCGGCTGAATTTGCAGAAACAGACGGAGAGAGTGATGAAGAGAGAGAAACCGGCGCCGGCTCCAGCCGCCACTAACGGTGGAAAGATTCGTGTTGTCTTATTCTGATGTCCCAACGGCGCTGCTGGGGCTAAAGAGGAAACGATCGGAGCCGGAGCCGGAACCAGAACCGTCGCCGAGATTGATCGTGACGGCATAGGGATTTAGTAAACCGAAGCTGAACCATAAACAGAGGAATTAAAAAAAAAAAATCGTTGCTTTTGTGTTTGTTTCAGTTTTCAGATTAAATCGGAAAGAGAAGAAAACGTTTGAGCAGTTGCGAAAATGGAAATTTTGCTTATTAATCTTTTTTTTTCTACATTTAATTGATCATTAATGAAATCATTACATCATGGTTTACGTGTTAAGGTTTCGAATTTTGATTGGTTAAACCGAATACTAATCCAAACACAGAGACAAATCCAATACCTGTTATTCTTTCTTATACTCCCTCCGTTTCATATTACTTGTCGTTCTAGGTTATTTCACACAAATTAAGAAAACGGTTAAAGTTATTGTTTTACCCCTAATTAATACATTATTTTATTTGATATATGTAATTAATAAGCTTAAAAAATAGGGTTAAAACTAGAAACCTGTCATAAATTTGCATTGTAAATATAAAATGACAAGTAATATGAAACAAAATTTTAACTCTAAAACGACAAGTAAAACGAAACGGAGGGAGTATCAAACAAGAACCATAGAAAGAATAACTGAACAATATTTTTTTCATTCTTTTTCAAATATTTGGAAGATTTGAAAAAACTCAAAATTCAAATTCAGACGAAGCCAAAACATACCCGGGTAATGAAACCGAACCGGGTTAGACCCACGTGGAGATTTAAATGCTCGTCTGTTGTTGCGTGGCTTTTGATAGAGACATTAAATAATTTAATTAGTAACGACTAACGCGTTTATGTGTAATTTGATAATGAAACTAAACCTAAGGTATTCCATATTCACGTGCGGTGGTGGGGAGGCCGTGGGGTAATCAAAGATCACCATGTGGAATTGTCTAATTAGGTATTTATTTATAACGCTAATTAATTACTCCTTAGGATAGTGAAAACGGCACGCAACTCTTTATTGTATTTAGTAAACGGACCGACGTTTTAGAATTACCAGGAAGCTGCTGCTGTCTGATTATCAAGTTGGATTAGGTATTTATTTGGTTTGTCTTTTTTCTTACATTAGTCAACATTTTTCTTTATTGGATTTATGACTGCTCCAAGATTAAACACGGCTTCTCAGTTTCCTTATTGTGAAATAATCTATCAAAGTGTCTAATGTAAGTTTTCCTTTCTTATAATATACGGAAAGGAAAATCAATAACAACTTCAAATAAGAAACGTTATTACAAGTAAGGAAACAATTATCGAACGTAAATTGGTATTACAAAAGAGGAAACACTTGTCGAATTGTATTATAAAAAGGAAACTTAATTGCACTACACAATTCCGGAAGAACTAAGAACATTAATAGACATCCTCTATATATTAAAACTATAGAGTCATTGATAGAGCTCACACAAAATCTTGAATTGTCTCTCATAAAAACTAGCGCGAGAAGTAGAAGAAAGAAGATGATGAATGTGAACGAAACAGAAGCATTACCATGCGAGGGAGGCTGTGGACTCTACGGAACCCGAAAGAACAACAATCTATGCTCTCTCTGCTACAAACACAGTGTTCTTCAACACTCGACCGCTTTAAGATTCGAACCCGAGACCGAGCAATCACAGTGTTGCCCTCCTACGAGTAGTCCCGTCGCTGAAGAAGAACCGGTCAGAAAAAGGAGATGTGGGATATGCAAGAGGAAGGTAGGAATGTTGGGATTCAACTGTAGATGCGGACACATGTTTTGCGGGTCACATCGGTATCCGGAGGAGCATTCTTGTCCCTTTGATTACAAACAATCTGGACGGCTCGCCTTGGCCACACAGTTGACTATGAACAGAGCTGACAAGTTGCAGAGGTTTTAGTGATATTTTAGACTTAAGAGTCGTGGATGTTGGAATGCTTGGCTAAAGATTTTGATGTTGTTTAATTCTTATACCAATAATATAGATGCCTTCTTTTAGCTATAAAAAACCCTGAACTGAAGTAGAGAGATTCAAAACAAGCAAGCCAACTTTTAATTTAAAAGGTCAATTAAATTAACCAAAAAAATCATAAAAGTAGAAACAAAACTGAACTTTGTCAAAACTTTATTGTCACTTAACATTGATACAAAAAAAAAAAACCTTCATTGTCACGACTCAGTGATCAAACTCTGACCAAAACATATCGGCTCTGTATCACATATGCATAAAAAGCTTGCAAAGAAAAAAATCCATACTATCTTGAATGCTTGTATTCAAGCCTAGAGAAGTTTGAGTTGATACACTACGGAGGAAGATAAGAATAGGAAAAAATAGTGGAATACAGAGAACTCTTTAGGCTTTTTCGCTTTTGCATATGTATAACCAAATTTGGCCAGAAGCCCAAGCCCATTATTGAGTTATTAATATAATTAATTATTAACAAGAAAAAGCCGAAAAAACGGGAATGGGAATACAAATATGAATATGATATATCATTATTCCTTAGAAGATATAGTAAGAGTCTCGATAGCCAAAAAAGCTTTGACACACTACAACAATATAGGATTATATGGTTTGAAAATAAGAACTACTAACGTATGGTTTGAAATAGTGGTAAAGTTTGTAACAGTTGAATAAAGCAAAAGATTCTTACTATTTATAGTCCCATGTCAGTACTTAAAATCCACATCCACGTAATTGGTTGCGGATGTTGATAGCCGTAGATATGGCTCTCCTAGTGGCTATGAGGGCATTGTTAGCCGCAATTCTCCTAACCCTACCATTCCGCCTCACCACATTTCCTCCCACATTGCCTTCTTCTATAACCTCTTCAACAAAAAGATCTCTGAAACGTTTTATAAAGTCAACGTAGGGTCTGTGCACAACTTCCTTTTTTTAGCTTTCTCCACATAAGCTTTTCAAATTCTGACTCCGTGGCCTCCCTCTATGCCTCCTTCTCAGCCTAAAATTGAAGGATTAAAGAGATATTAGATTAATAAGTTAGATTAGATTAATAAGATATATACATATATGAAACAAGAAATTTACAAAAAAAAAGTGACAAAATGTAGAATAGCCTCCTGTCTTTGATTTGTGTCTCATCCTTAATGGTGACAGCATCTCGGGTAGTACGAGATAAATGAATCGAGTCTAAAATGTGATTGAAGTGCAATTTATGTGGAAGAAACACATCATATAAAATAGGTGTAGTCTGTATAGAAGTATTTGAGATAATACGGAACCAATAGTGCTGGACAATGTTTAGATGATGAAAAAAGCAATAAACGAGGTGGAATAAATATTTACAAATTAAAATGAAAAAACGAGAAAATAAATTTAAAAGAGTTTAGACTAAACTTAAGTTATGCTAGGACTATCTATGCGCTTCAGATAATATTACTATACTAGTTAAACTTCAAAAAAATGAAGGAGAAAACACTCGTGGCACCTAAAACAGAAGGTAAAAAAAAACCTGAACTGAAGTAGAGAGATTCAAAACAAGGAAGCCCACTTTCAATTTATGGCATTGTTGCATCTACTAATTAATGTCGTTTTTGTTTTTCTTTCACCATCACATGCAGATTGTGTGTTGTAGCAACATCCAATTTTCTCCATCACATGCAGATTGTGTGTTGTAGCAACATCCAATTTTCTCGGCTCATACAGCGTAAGATATTTCTGTTTGACTCAGACTGGATGGATTCACTGGTGCCTTTGCTAGAAAATACTCCTGTAGTTGATTATGTATGTATCTCTGCCTCATCGTGTCCTTGCTTATTTATATGAATAAAACTAACTTTTAGAATACGTTTGCATATTAATGGTTGCTTTTCAGAGATCAACACATCGACCCCCTATCGCATCAGCTACATGGAGCCAAAGAGGGTATTATCCCGAATGTTTCTATTCGAGTCTGGAGAAGTTTGAGTTGGTAGACTACGGTGGAAGAGAAGAAGAGGAAGAATTGGTGGAATATATCCTAAGAACATCCAGGTGTTTAAAGACAGCGACAATCTATCTAAAATCCACCTTAGAACCTGAAATCAAGGACACAATGATGGAGAAGAGCTTGCAGCTATGGATAGGTTTTCTGAAGCATGTCAGCTTTGTTCACAACCGAGTATGTAAACAACTAGACGTTGCAGTTGACTGAAGATTAATGACTTTTTGACCATTGAAAGAAATTACAGTTACAATTTTCTGCAAGTTTTTTATCAGCTCTGTTTCATTCCCTTAGATAACAATCGAACTTTAGCCTAAGAAAGTACCTAACCCAGCATCCATAAGAAGACACCAAGGTGTCAATAATCACTCTGCGAATGAAGAATTGAGGATGTGAGTTTTAGTAACATAATAAACCTATCCGAGAATCAAATCACTGAATCATTTTCCAGAGTTGTATATTGTGATAAACTGATAATACAGAAAAGTTAAATGAAACTAACCACAAACAAGTATTGAAAGTGAATGCTAATAAAGGCCTGCCCCTGCAAATGTCTAGTTGGATCAAGTGATTCCTTCAAGAAAGGGGTCCTTTTGCTGAGTCTTTAATCAAGACTCCATATACAGTTACAGAAGCTTGCTGATTGAAATTAACCTCATCACTATTGACCTTGTTTCTTGAAGCTCAAATCTACATTTTCATTCATCTGCACCAAACAAACACTCAACACTTGTGACTTTGAGAAAGCTTTTCTATCCTGTAGGATTCGAGGTTTTGAAACTTACCGATTTCTCAACTTCTTTGGCTTTATCTTCGTTGAACCCGAGTTTCTCCAAAATCTGGCGGCCTGCTGAATCCTTTTGAGACCAAATCCCCAGAAGCAAGTAGGCCGTGGTTAGTTCACCATCCACACCTGTGAACAAATAGTTTCAGTTGGCTATATAGGAAACAACAAAGATGGCCAAATATTAAGGTGTTGTTTATGCACACCAGATTTATTCTTCTCATCAATGGCCCAGGCAATGGCCTTTTGAGCCGGTTCAGTAAGAGGAGGATGCTCTGGACTGAAAAAATACATGTCTGATTTCCCCAGCAGGCTTATCGTCTCATCTCTCACCTTAAAAAGCGTAACTCCATTCCCCCTCAGGAACTTAGCAACTGTGCTAGTGCCTGACATGAAAACCGACTATAACAAGGTTAATACAACTCATAATCTGAAACACATTGCCATAACTGCCTTATGAAAAACAGAACTAAGAGTTGTGGAAATTAAAACAACACAAAATTAAAAGTCTATTTCTGATGATTCTACCCAATTCTCTCCTCTTGCTTGTTTTCCCAGCAAGAAACAGCATAAATATTCCACAACTGAATATAGAGCTTCAGTTTTTTTGTGGTTAAGAAACAAAAGGATTAGTAGCAAAAACCTCATCCCATACGTATTTCGTTTTATAGGAACAAACACAGCCTATACTTCAAAGCTATGCTCGGAATCAGAAAAGCGGGTGAACTGAAGCAAAATTGAGACAGAGAAATCTTCACCAGCATTATCTTTTATACAGATCTCTCTCAAAACAAAATGTAAGACTTTTCAGTTTCCTGTTTATTATTTCTACAGTTAAATGATCCAATTCTCCTATATAAACCAACATAAGGAATTCCATATACAGCTACAGTTTTGAATGATTAAGAAACACAAGGATAGAAGCAAAATCTCATCATACAGGAGCAACCAAAATCATAAAAGCCCTTGCTTATACATATGCTGGGATTCAGTTAATGCTCAGATGAGCTGAAGCACACACTTAGGCGAGCAATATCACCAGAGCATTATTATTGTAAAGAATCCCTCAAAACTAAATGTGAAAACTTTCAACAGCATAAATATCCAAGGCAACATAGTGATCCCCAGAAACCACAATTTAAACTAGAAGACGCTGTAAACACAAAGCTGAAGAAAATACAAGTCTCAGAATCACAAACCTTCGACTAAAATACCCATGAGAATGGCTTCAGTCCCGGTGCTTGGATACTTGAGCTTCCTAGCCTCCAATTCTCCCATTGCAAGTGATTTTATAGCTCTCGCCGACCATCTAAAATCAAACAATAAAAAAAAACAACCCTCAACAATTCAAACATAGAAGCTCTGAATTACACGTAATTTTAGAGTGAGACTCACTTTGGGATCTTATCCGAAGAACCATTCTCCGGTTGCCTGAAAAATTCAACATTACCGTGGTGAAAGGAAAAACCCAGAAAATATAAACATGTAAAAGCCTCTGTCAAATCAAAAACTTACGCAGTTGGAACATTTAAGACCGTGCTAGCTGAGGTCAAGCACCGGAGCTTGGGGACGAAGCAGCGATGCGACGGTTGTGTCGCCACAAGCTTCTTACCTAACAGAGAAGACGTAAGAGGAATCCGAGAAGAAGACGAGGAAGATCCATTCTGTCTAGAAACAAAGATCCGAGGATTAGAGAGCGTCAAAGGGATAAAGGAGACTGTGTACGACGCCATTTTCACTCTTGAGGAATCAAAGCTTTTCGTCTTTGGGTGAGTCAGTGAGATAGGCGACTATTACTCAGCTAATCGTTTTTGCAAATGAATCCCCCAATTTTACATAATTTACGAAATTTCGACTAGTATTAATAAACTTGAACTCATAAATTTCAATCTCAAGAGTCGAGACACAAACGAACCAAAAAGTATAGTGGAACAAATCCTAATCCTAACTCACCGTGGTTGGCACAAATCTACAAGTGAGCTTATATATGTGTTTATCGGTAATCAAGAATCAGATTTATCGTATAACTCGTGTAATATGCTCTCTAAGCCTTGAGTTTCAAACCAAGTCAAGTTGATGAGCTTTTCCTTTTCCTGCCTTCCTTGTCTCTCCTTATGAGCTCCAAGACCATTTCGTTCCATGTATCGACCGGACCAGGCATGCACCAGTGCAAGCAGTCCTGAGGTGGAGGCCGTCCGTCTGGTCCCCGTTTAGTGATCTTGTTTGGGTCAGGACTTCTGTATGGACCAGGATGACCATCATGTCGATATCCAAAAGCCTCTGTGATATCCATCAGCTTTAATTTTAGCTTCAAATTCTCAGCGACTTTTTCGACGGCTAGGTTATATCCTGTCGCTTGCTTCTCGTGCATTATCTCTGTGAATCCGTTTTTCACTAGCTTCCCTGGAAGGATGGGTTCTTCTTTCCCCGTGCATGAACCACCGGTGTTCCAAGCACCGCCCTCGTAGTGATCAGGTGAGAATGTTCTCACAATGGTCAAACCGTTGTAGTTCGGGTGTGTAGCCATGGACTTTAGGATTGTTTCCACTGATATTCCAAATGCATCCACGTTATTGACTTTCATGGGTTTTGATTTGTCTGGCCACCATAATTGGCCTCCCACGATCTCGTCCTTCAATATGTAGACGGACTGCTTTGCGAACCAGTGTCCTGATGAGAGGACAACCACGTCGAATTTCGGGATAGCTTCCATTATGCGTTCATCAGGAAGATCCAGCTTTAGTTTTGTGACACCTTCAGGAGCATAATCAAATTTTTCGTTGAACTGATGAACAAGCCAAGATGACCAAATACGGGCAATCATTACTGATGATGACTTAAAATACCATCTCTGCATCTTTCTGCTCCCACGATTGACTGGTGTTTCAACCTGAAAACAAAAACCTACGTTAATATAATACATAAAATGTCATGATCTGAGTAAAGCATCATAATAGATCCCTTATATTGGTTTTCACCATTAGTTGAATAACTTGCCTGCCAAAGAAGGCACAACATGGACTCCATTTGATTACGAGCTACTGAATCTCCTATAAAGGCCAGTGTCTTGCCTTTCATTAGTTCAAGAAATTTCCTGGCATCAAACCGAGGAAGGTCACACTGAGACGGTTTCCATCTCCAGTTCTCATATCCCTTATCAGGTCTTCCATTGCCCTGGCAATTCTGCATCTGTGTCAGGACAGGGCACGAGTTGTTCGTGTACAGAGGTCCCCCAGGATCATAAAACCAACTACCTTGATACAAATCACACTCTACAAGCAATCAAAGATTTAAGTAAGCCACAAATCTAACAGATATAGAAAACATGGAACAGCTAGAATCCTGAGAAGCAAGAGAGAAACTGACAAGAACAAATCAATGAAACTGCTTTTCTTATTCCAATTCACCAAAACAGAGAGAACTCTCAATCAAATGCCCAAACAAAGCCTAGAAAATCCAACCTCTAAAACAATATGCTGAGACCACCTTACAAGCCCAGTCCTCAAAATCTGCTCCCTAACCAACTTAAAACAACTCTACTCTGCTACATTCAGTCCAAGACTATAATAGATACAGTTGGCCTATAGCTAAGAATTGAGCCGCTGAATTTCTTTAAAACTTATTCAGAAACTTAAGCCTTTTTTGGCATAAAAATGCAAAACTCATGTATAACATTACCATACTAGTTTACTCTTTGTATTTAAAAAATTAAGCTACCATAAACCATAATGTTCCAAATAAGACAAAAGCTACGTAAATGGAGTGTTTAAAAGATAACAGTACCTGGTTCTACAGACGCAGTTTCAGAGTCATCATGTGGAGGAGATGATGCACTTGGAGTGTCTTCAGCCTTGGTCTCATTGGTTTCACCTTCACCTGATTGAACATCAGTCTTCTTAGTTATATCCGAAGAAACCATATCCTCCTTTTCTTTTGTCAAAGGTGTCTCCAACTTCCTATCACTATCGAAATCTGGCGGTTGTATGTTTTTGCTAACAACAACAGGTGAGCCTGAGCTAGAATCAGAAGTCAGATTTTTATCAAAGGCATTGATGTCACTACTCTTCTGAAGGATTTTAACGGTATGATTGCTCAAAGATAAAGGGACATGAACTTGTTCAGGATTCCCTATCCCATAAAATATGCCACTAACTGAAGAACTATTCGGATACGAAAGACGAAGCAACAATCCGAAAACAAAGAATGAAGCCAATCCGCCAATAGCAATAGCAACAGTAGACACTTTCCGAGGAAATCCAGCCGCAGCTAAAATAGAATTCCTAGGAGAACCAAAAGCCATGGCGGCTTCACTAATAGACACCCAGAACCAATGCACGCAAGAAGAAGGGAGCTTATAGGTGATAATTAACTATCAACATTCTTCAAAATGCAGTCCAAGTAAAATGTTATCTTCAGGCGCATGCAATCTTCAAGTGAATTTGTTACTCGATTCAATCTTCCACTGGATCACGGATAAGATTCCACCTTCTTTCAGGATCGAAAGCACTGGAATCTAGAAGAGCAACAGTATGAGCAGCCATACTAATAAAACAAGATGATCGATCTAATAAATAATCTATAACCCAGAGAAACAATCAAATCCAGAATATAAATGTGAATCCAGCTCAGATTCAGCTCAAATCATAGAAGATTTTCAGCGAAAGAAAACAAAATTTTTACAAGATTTTCTTCTTCATTAAGCAGATCCAAACGAACACAAGAAGAAAGAGAAATCTACGAACCTTGAAACTCAGAGAAAATTCCACCAGAAAATGATCCGTGTTGTCTTCTTGTTCGTGAAGCGAGCTCAGAAGATGATTCACAGGAAATCCACAACAGTGAAGAAGAAGAATAACACAAAAATTCAGCGAAATCAAATTAAAGAAAGGTTAGTTATAGTTTTATTAGTTAATTTATTCTGGGAATAATTTAAACGAATTTAGTGGAAATTGATTATAATCATTTGTTTTCTTCTTCCGGAGCCATTAATGCCGTCTGTGATCTCATCGGCGCGTAGATGGCCACGCGATGATATGTAAATTACGAAACTACCCTTCGGTCAACACCACATTGCGTATATTTCGAATTTTTGTTCATTGTTATTAGGTCTTGGTAACGAGTAACGACGATACGATGTGATGTTTGATGATAATGTTACAGATTATTATCTTTTGGTGATCATACAGATGATTTTGTTTATCTAAAACAATGGCTTTCACATTTAAAATATAAAATCACCTACTACTAGTCATCATCTAATGTTACACACTCCAACATATGACAAAATCATTAAAATATTAATTGTTATATAGATAAAATAGAATTACAATATGCTCTTCTATAGGATATTCATCTAAAAATTTGCATCATAAAATAATTTATTAGAAAAAAGGGTGAGTTAAATATCTATGCCCAGACGAACGAAAAATTAAGTATGTATGCTTCATAATTAGTTATTTAGTTCTCTCTCCTCACCTTAAATAATTAAGACAAAAATACCCCTATACAACATAAAGATCTTTAGTTGTATAGCACAGATACGGAAGCTAACCGAGTTAAACAATTTATCGACTAACCACGTTATTATCGTCCGCGTTTGTCTTCCAGCCAAATATCATCACCAATATCTGTATTAGCAACACCTTATTAAAACAGAGCAAAAGAAAAAATTACGAGGTATAAGTAACGAAAACATTACAGAATAACTTAGGTATCGTCTAATTTTGCTATTAGCATTTGCGTTACTCTGAATTCCAATAACTTCACCAACTTTAGGAGTACTAGCACCCTAAACAATGAATACAAAATAAATATACCGAGTTAAACTATATTATATCACGATAAGTTTATAATTTATGTGATAAATTCACATTTATCATGTAAACCAATTTATTATATGAGATATAAAAATAACGGGTTACATATAGTATAGTATTTGTGTGTATAATTATTTGATTAGCATGTTAATTAGTATAGTTTCATAGTAAATTCATATCTAATGTGTTCAATACATATTTATCATGTGAAAACCACTAATCATATTTATGCATAATTATAATAAAATATATATTTATGCATAATTACTCTTTGGCTAATGTAACTAACTCGATAAAAATTTCTAATAACAGGTATATATAATTATAAACGATAACAATAATAATAACATGTTAAGTAATATTATAAATCGTTAACAATAATAAAATAATAATTTATTTACCCAACTAAAAAAATGAGTTATTAATTCTTTAATATTACATATATTTATAACGGATTAATAGTTTATGTAACGGAATATTACATTCTTTAGTCGTTAATTTATAAATTATCGGATCAACTCGAGTTTATCTTTAGTTTAGCAAAATATCTCACAGTTTTTCTAATTCCACCGTCATAATCTCCGATAACAGTTGAAGTATTAGATACATCACACCAAAAATTGAAACTTAAACATAGACGTGTTCACAAATTGGAATTCCATATTAATTAAAACTCAAAACCACACAAACAGAGACAAAAAATTGTCCTCCTCATCGTCCATGACGATAACCATTGATTCCTGAGGATCATTTATACTCAATACTCTTCCTAATACTCAATTTTCAAAACAACCACAATGGTTTCAATCAATTGTTGGCGAACACATGGGTCATTGAGCCGTCACGGCGCAGCTGGTTTGGAGTGAGTCGTTGGGTCAAGATGCCGTCTCGGTGGAGCTGGTCTCGAGTTCAACGTTGACGTCTGTCATGAATATCGACAGAGAATAAAATTGTCTGTAGTTTTTTTATTTTCTTCTTCTGACATCAAACACAAGCAAGAAAGAGAAATGAAATAATGAAGATAGGGGCAAAAAAGTCCAAATGAATTAAACAGTAGATGAGATATTTAGGGAGGAAAGAGAACTAATTTTCCAATCCTCTGAGCATAGATAATAGTATTTCCCTAGAAAAAATAGAAAATAGGTGACATATATCATAACATAAATAGTTATGAACTACAAACTCGACTCAAAGTTGAACTTCACTTGGTCCGATATTAGGTATGATTCGTCCTTCGTCTCTGGCGCAGCAAAAGCGAAACCATATAGAAGCCACTATCAGTGTGATGAGGATTAATACACCCACGGCAATTCCAGAAATTACGAAAATCTTCATGAGATCAGGCCCCATAATTTTTTTCACCACACGCCAAAAAAATTTAGTTTCTTTTGTTGTCTTGTCTTCTTGTTACAAAGTATACTTATATACATGTATTGTCATCACAAAAATTTACATTTATGAAAATAAGTACGTGAAATTTGTAAGTTTTACATTTACTCATTGAAGAAAATTAACTAGGAAAAAATGGAACATATACATTTTAAAGAAGATTAATTAGGAAGAAATAGAAAATTTACATTTTGATGGTACTTTGTTGATCGTCGTCATACCATCAACTGGAAAAAGTACATTTTTAAGGAGGATTAACTATGAAAGAATAGAACATTTACTTACGTATGCATGTAGTAATTTAAGGCTACCACAAAAAATTAACATTTTATTTCAGAATATTCTATATTTTTTATATTTAACACACTATCTACTTAACATTTTTGAAGTACAAATTTGCTCCTTCCAATCGGGTCGGATTTTAATTGATTTTGACCCGGAAATCTTTGATTCGGATCTTCCCATATTTAATATTTGACCCGAAATCTTTTGAATCAGATCATTCCTTATTTACTAATCTCTATATTAAATACAAACAATATTTAATTATCCAAAATCTTGCCTAAATCTAATTTGGTTAGAATATTTAAAGAATCTAAATTTAAATTAAGGAAAACATAGATATTGGAATTAAATAGCATTGTATATATAGATAGTTTATTTTAAATGGAGAATCTTGATTTCAATATTTATAGTTATTACGATTTTTAATTAAGGAATTAAATATGTGGTAATTAAATATTAAGCCCATATATAGTTAAATCTGTAGAATATCGGAAATATTTTAAACTTGTGTAAAACAAATTATTTGAGTGATAAATTCCGTTTGCTTAATTGGAAAGATTTTAGTAACTTCAAATCTTCTCCATATCAGAAAAATAAAGCGAAACATATTAAAGAAAGTTTATGATTTTATGATCGCAAAAAAAAAACTAAAGAATATTCTAAAGTTTGTTTAGTTGAAAAAAAATTACCAATTATTTAGGGATTTCGAATATATTCTATTTGCTTGATCTTCAAGATATTTTATGATTACAATATTTTATTTAACCTACTCATTTTACTCTATAAATACCTCTTCAATCTTAGTTCCTAAACACTACAAATGTGCATTCACTTAACCTACTTGCTTCACATTCTTAACCTAATTCTACCAATGTATCGTCAGCTAAATTATAGAGCTCAATGAGAAGAATGTGAACTCATCTACGTTTACATTTGTGGTAGTGTTTAAGTTTTTTTTTCACTTTTATTATCATTTATCGGTTTTATGTTTTGTTTTCACTAACATAAGTTTTATAGTTTGTTTTTTTAAAAGATTTTGGTGGTGTTCCCTATTTAAAATTTTCTGTATGGTTTATGAATAAAATATCCAAAATTTTTAGGAAGCTTGGAAAGATTTTTTTTTAATGACTCCATATCTATATCAGTGTTTTTACTGTCAAGACTATAACTACTATTTCCATACAGTTTACTTTAAATTGTACAAGAGCATTTTGATAAGTATTTTTAACTAATTACACACACAAAATAATTATTAATTTATGATTTTTAAATGGTTTCTAATCGCGATACATACAAAATATATTATTTTTCTAAATATATCATTTTCAAACAAATTTCATTTTTCACCTATAAATATAAACAATTATTATAACTAATAAATATATTTTATTGGATTTTATAACACTACTAACTTAGCTAAATAGATATTTCCACTCTACAATTGAAACATAGTATTATTATACAATACTCAACAAATCTTGAAATTTATGTATTCTCCAACATAAAATTTACATTTGAAGTTATAAATTTTATATAAAAACTATAATCTTGCGGTGATGTTCTCTATTTTTTTTACATGGTTCAAAAGGTCATGCTTAATTCAAAAATCACATGTAAGCCGCTTTGTTTTTTAACTACTCTTTAAATTTTTATGTTTTTAGCATTCTAATAGTGTTCATATATTATAAACAAATCCCACTTACATCATATATTTCTACAACATTATAAATATTTAAATTTTATAAACAGTTTAAAGTATTTATAATATTTAGATTTTATAAAAAGTTTATAATATTAATAATATTTGAACTCTAGAAATATTAAAAATATTTATATTATGTGAATCATTCAAAAGCAAACTTTTAAATTAACACGAATTATAAATGATCTTTAAATTCATAAGACGGAGTTATATGGTGGGATGGATTTGGATCGATATTAATATGAGACGGTATACCACGGGTGAAATCCTAGAATTAGTTATCAAAATACAATTATATAATTTTAAACACTAAACAAAACAAACAAAATTACCAAAATAAATATAACTTAAAATTTAAATTTTTTTGTTACAAAAAATTAACCCGCGGTATACCGCGGGTCATATCCTAGTAAATATACAATAATTAAAACACAATAGGATTGTCTTTAATGGGCCGGGCTTATACGATTTGAGATGTGTGATGAGTGCTTACTGTTGTGAGCGGATTATTAGTTTTTGCTAGTTAATGTTGTTACTCCTAACGCATAAAATGAATCATCATGATTATTTTAATTAGGTGAAATCAGTCTACGCAAGTATATTATTTGAATAATTGTTAAACCAATTGTTTGTAAGTAATACATTACTGCCTACCAAAAAAAAAGTAATACATTAGTGTAATTTATAAGTTTCAAATTATTATTGTATTATAGTAAATAAATAAATATGTATATACACAAAGGAAATGGTGCGTATTCCCGGTAGTTACTTGTCAAATTCCCATTTAAAACATCGCAAATTGGTTGAAAAAAGTCACGAAAGAAAAACCAGATTAGCATCAAAAGTTTTTAAAACTCTTAATTCGCCCATAACTCTTTCTTAGAAACAATTTGAAAAAAATCAAAATATTCAAAAGTCGGTTGCTATTTATTAGCGATAAGTATACGTACTTTTTTTCTTTTTTGAAAACCAACATGTAATTTGAAAATTTTGTTTGCTAAAAATGAAAAAAATTGATGTCCGTAGAATATTACAATGCCCAACGACTCGCTTCTGAGCTAATGCAACAAGAGTGGACGGTACTACATTGTGGTCACGAAGCAGTGTAGAAGATACCAATTTTTTTTTTGTCAACCAATCTAGAAGATACGATTTTGCATTGAATAAAGACATTACACATTAGGTGGCGACAAAACAGAGAAGCTAGCAAGCTCCTAAAATGATAAAAGTGTAGAAGATACCAATTTTTTTGTCAACCAATGTAGAAGATACGAAATCCGATTTACGCGTTTAGAGCCACCACCCAGTCATTGACCAAAACCCAAATGATAGAAACGTCCATTTGAGTGGTTTCAGATATGATTAACGTAGATATCAGATATGTCATATATTTAATTAATAAGCACATTGACATGACATGTCTTGATTGACTACAGATTTAATAAGCACATTGACATTTCACATGTCACATGCAGGTTTGATTATAAAAATATCTATGGTTCTAATCCAAATACAAAACAGGTCATAATTTTTATTGAACTATAATCAAACTTCCAGTTATAGCAAATAATTTATCAGTAATGGAAAATTACTCAACAGATCAAACGTGCATGGCTAAGGTTATTTTTTTCCTTATATTTTCATATGTTTTTAATTTTAATCTACAACATATAAACCCTAATTAATAATTCGTGAAAGTTCATTTAGCTTAGTGTTCAAGGGTTAAAAAATTTATACATTATTGATAATCATGTGTAATAAAATAAAATTAATTCATATTTTTGTTAATATTTTCGGGAGTTTTGCCTTTTGATTTTTTTTTTTTGTGTGGTAAAATGTTTTGATTGTTTAATTGTGGACGAGAACAAATTCATATTTTTGTTGGCTAAGTTAAGACTTAAGACCTGGTCTACCTCTCTAGAAAAACTTTCAGCATCACTCAAAACCCAAAAGTCAAAAAGTCACATGCTTCTTTCCAGTTTTTGTTCTGTTCCAAAGACAGAGAGCCCAAGATTCTTAATTGAGACTATAGACTTCGACCAAAAATATCTGAAGGTTGAACAAGAGGAAACGAAGAATCATGAGGTTTGGGAAAGAGTTTGTGTCTCAAATGATCCCAGAATGGCAAGAAGCTTACATAGATTACGCTTACCTCAAAACCATTCTTCAAGACATCCAAGCTTCCCGTAGGGTTTCAGATTCCAATAACCAGAACAGTAGTACTCCTTCCTTCGCACGCAACCTAACCAGACGGTACAACCGCAACGCCTTGGTCTCTGAGAATCACGACATTGTGGTCAACACTGTGACACGGGACGAAGAAGGGCTCGAGACGACGGCTTACGAGACTACGTTTTTAAAGGCTGGAGAACAAGGTGGAGACTTTGAGGTTACCTTCTTTAGAAACCTAGATCGAGAATTCAACAAAGTGATTAGCTTTTACAGGTTAAAAGTGGAGAAAGCTAGAACTGAGGCTCTGGCTCTGAACAAACAAATGGATGCTTTGATTGCTTTTCGACACAAAGTTATGGATCAGAATCAGAAGAACCCTTCTGTCTTTGATTCAGTCTCAGTAGACATCAATGGCTTAGATTCTGAGGCTGGATCATCTTCCAATTGTAGAGAACACAGTAAGTGAGTTTCTCACGTTCTGTTTTGGTTTCAAGTTTGGCTTGTGAATATTTAAATTTATATTCATGCGTTGATGAATCAGGAGTAGCATTAGAAGATGTTATGAGGAATGATGATACATCGAACGAGAGTATTCTTGAGCGCATCAGGATGAACAAAACGCGAGAAATAACTCCTCTGTCCGCAATTAAAACCATCCTCAAGGTCCATAAACAGGACGAGCTCAAATTCACAAGAGAGAATCTCAAGGAAGTCGAAAAGCGACTTCAGGTTGCATTCATCGAGTTCTATCAGAAGCTTCGACATCTTAAGAATTACAGCTTCTTGAACGCCTCCGCCGTTTCCAAGATCATGAAGAAGTATGATAAGGTACTTTACATAGTTTCTTTTGATAATTTTGACAAATTTTGTCAAGTTTAATATAATGGTTGATATGCTCTCCTCTTTAGATAGCCAAAAGAAATGCTGCGAAACTGTATATGGACATGGTGGATAGATCTTACCTCAGTAGCTCTGATGAAGTAAGCAGATTTAAATTAAAAAAAATATTACTTATCCTTCTTCTATCTACGAAAATCGAAAAAATGCAACTTTAGTTTGAAGCTTTAAACATGTGCAGGTTCATAAGCTGTTGCTAAAAGTTGAATCTACTTTTATTGAACATTTTTCCAATTCAAATCGGAGGGAAGGGATGAGCCTCTTAAGACCAAAAATAAACAAAGAACGTCATCTTATAACGTTTTCCACCGGTATATATGACAACACTACAGTATCCAATCTTTGAAATGTATTTGCAAGAGTAATTCCTCATTTTGTTCTGTTCTGTTTTTGTTTTAGGCTTCTTCTTCGGCTGTGGTGTTTCTCTCATTGTAGCTCTTGGTTTGATCATCCATGCTCGTAATATCATGGGTACACCAGGACAAAGAACTTATATGGAAACAATGTTTCCTCTTTACAGGTCAGTAAAACGACCAAATACAAACCAAACACACTCTCTATGTCTCTGTGTAATATTCTTGAGATATATACATTTCATTTGCAGGTTCTTTGGGTTTGTAGTTTTGCACATGGACATGTACGCTGCTAATATCTACTTCTGGAGGCGATACCGTGTGAATTACTCCTTCATCTTTGGATTCAAACAAGGCACTGAACTTGGTTATAGGCATGTTCTACTTCTCAGCTTTGGTCTTGGTACACTTTCTTTGTGTGCTGTCTTATTAAACCTTGACATGGAAATGGATGCTCAAACAAAAGACTACAGATTAGTCACCGAACTTATCCCCCTCTTTCTCCTCGTTGTAAGTTCCTTCTATCTCTCTCTCTTTCTCAGTACATTCTGCAACTCAATCTTTATATTTAGTAAGACTGGTTTCTTTGCAAATTGCAGTTAGTGATTGCTATTTTTCTCTGCCCCTTTCACATTTTGTATCGGTCAAGCCGATACTTCTTCCTCTCGGTTCTGTTCCGCTGCATCGCTGCACCATTTTACGCGGTACCAACAACACCCTCCGCTCCATTCATCTGAAACATAAATGTTAAGAAGAATGTCTTCCATTTTTGCAGGTGAATCTTCCGGACTTTTTCTTGGGAGATCAACTAACAAGCCAGGTTCGAGAAAATCTATACTCGAAAAAATAGCTTCATATTTATTTTGATCGATGATGTCAGATGTAAATAATCAATGCCAGGTTCAAGCACTGAGGAGTCTAGAGTTCTACATATGCTACTATGGTTTTGGAGATTTCAGATATAGACGACGAGACACCTGCACATCAAATATTGGATTCAGAACATTCTACTTCATCGTTGCCGTTATACCTTACTGGTTACGGTTTCTTCAGTGCATCCGAAGAATGATGGAAGACAAAGATCTGAGTCATGGCTACAATGCCATCAAGTATCTCTTGACCATCGTCGCTGCTTGTCTTAGAACAGCCTATACTCTAAACAGAGGAACCACATGGAACATCACAGCTTGGGTATTCTCGGGAGTTGCAACGTTTTACGGAACTTACTGGGACATTGTTGTTGACTGGGGATTGCTTCAAAGAGGATGTAAGAACAGTTTCTTGAGAGACAAGCTTCTTGTTCCTCACAAAACCGTGTACTACGCTGCAATGGTGAGAGCAAGTGAGCAACCAGAAAACAGCAATATCCTCTGCTTTTGTTTTTTCTTTTCTTACATTATGGTGAAGATTATTGCTTCATGTTTCTGGCAGGTCCTGAATGTTTTGTTGAGGTTAGTGTGGTTGCAAACAGTTTTGGATCTGAAATTCTCTTTCTTGCATAGAGAAACTATGGTCGCGCTTCTGGCTTGCCTTGAGATCATACGCAGAGGTATCTGGAACTTCTTTAGGTAAGCTCCGAGACTGAGAAAATGGTGTTTCCATGCATGAATTACCACACAACTAATGAAATGTAATTTGTTGATTAGGCTGGAGAATGAGCATTTGAACAACGTTGGGAGATACAGGGCGTTCAAAACTGTCCCGTTACCGTTCAACTACGAAGAAGATGGAGATCATGACAATTAGCTTAACAAGAAATACTTGGTTTCACAAAATTACCTTAACAGCTAAACTTTGCATCGTCTTCAGATCTGTAACGATCTCAAATCGGAACCACTGAGCGAGGTTTGCCTCTATATCTGTCTACGGTTTTCCACCGTACTCTTCACGGAACCAACTCGACGCTGGTTCAGTCTCAGGGTCAAACATAATCGAAACCTAACCGATGGTAGGAGTGAGGAGAAATCAAGTGGAAAACTCTTTTTTCCTTAACAAGATATACACACTTTACCTAACTTGGTTTGGTTACAGACACATGTACACAAAAAGACATTGTTGCACACTTCAGATTTTTACAAGTATAAAAAAGAAACTCACGTACTTGATCAAAATAAAATAAAAGTGTAGAATAAAATCTTGACAATACCTGTCACTTTATCACAGACCAATTAATGGGCTTCATTGGATCTCAAAGTTTATGACGGCCCAATTTATCGAGAGCGCGGTTCGGTTGGACAAACCGTCGAAATTTCTCGAAACGGCTTGATATATAGCTCGTCTGCAAAAACCTTCGATTAGGGTTTTAGTCTTTAGAACAAACTTGCCGTTTCGTTTCGTAGGAGTTTATCGACATCTAGCTGAGAAAATGGGATTCTGGGGTTAGTTTCTCTGCTCGTCTTTCATTTTCTGGGATTGATATTGTCGCTCAATGTGTTCTTTGATTTTCCCGGAACACGATTCCTGGGTTCTGATTTTGTGTTGTTAACGTTTGCAGGACTCGAAGTGAAACCTGGGAAACCTCAAGCTTATAATCCGAAAAATGAACAAGGAAAGATTCACGTTACCCAGGTACTATCATCTTGTTCTTGTTCCTTCGAGCTGATTTGGGATGTTGATTATACCTTTGTGTAGACTAATTTAGGAATCTATTGATGTATGTATGTATTTATGTTTTGTCATCATTCAGGCAACTCTAGGTGCGGGTTTGAGCAAAGAAAAGAGTGTTATTCAGTGTTCGATAGGAGACAAGGCCCCGATTTCTTTGTGTTCATTGTTGCCTAACAAAATCGAATGCTGCCCTCTGAATCTTGAGTTCGACGATGATGATGAGCCAGTCGAATTCTCCGTCACTGGTGACAGAAGTATCCACCTGTCTGGATTCTTGGAGTATTATGAGGAGAATGAAGATGATTATGAGCACGATGAAGATGATTCGTATCCTTTCACTGTTACTAGTTTCCTTTGAAAATAATGCCTTCTTGTTTTTTTATTATTTTATCTGTTTAGAATCTTAGTGTTTTCATTGCGACAATATTAGAGATGGTATTGATGTTGGTGAATCTGAGTCAGACGATTCATGTGAATATGATAGTGAAGAGGATGATCAATTGGATGAATTTGAAGATTTTCTTGATAGCAATCTTGAAATGTATCGGAAAGCTGCTGTCCCAAAGAGTGGAGGTACTTTTTCTTACATAGATGCTAATCAGATTTGTAGCCTGCACTTTGATATAGCAGCTTAGTACTTCCAGTTTTTGCTAAGTGTGTTTGCTTCTTTTTTTCTTGACTCATCACTCTTGTCTTATACAAAGGATCTTTCCTTGTACTGCTAAAAATAATCTGAATGCCATCTTTGCTAGTTATAATTGAGGAGATAGAAGATGAAGAGAAACCTGCCAAAGATAATAAGGCAAAACGAACCAAGAAGAAGAGTCAGGCTAGCGAAGATGAGAGTGCAAAGAAACAAATCGTTGCCATTGAGAGTGCCCATGTTCCAGTTCTGGAAAGCGAAGATGAAGATGAAGATGGTTTACCTATTCCTAAAGGAAAAACACCTGAACTAGAGACTGAGTCAGGTGAGAAGATGGACTTAGATAATGACGAACAAGGTAGTAACAAAAAACGGAAGGCCAAGGCTACTGAGCTAGATGGTGGACAAGAAAGGTACCGTTCTCTTTTCTCTCTACTGACTCTGAGGACATAGTGAGCATATTTTATTTTAGTAAGTTTTGTGGGAATATGAAGTTGTTTCTAAAATCTGTTTCAGTGTTAACAAGAGTAAAAAGAAGAAAAACCAGAAAGAAAAGAAGAAAGGTGAAAACGCCTCAAATGAGGAAGCTGATGAACAAGTTCCGACGGGAAATGTGCTGAAAAAGCAGGAAACCAGCCAAATTTCTTCAAACACGAAAGCTCAAAATGGAACTGCAGACAATGCAATGTGAGAACTCTTATGTTTTTATTTGAGACTCTTTTTTGGGGGATAACAGATTGTATTCATGTCAGTTGTGAAATTATCAGTAAGTTGATATTTGAATGATTATTCAAAATGATAAGGTCACAAGTAAAGAAGGTTTTATGAGTATACAACGGTTCTATCAAACCATTTCTCATCTAACAAATTTCGGTGCTTTTATGGTATTATTGCAGGAGTGAAAGCTCCAAGACCCCAGATAAATCTGCTGAGAAGAAAAAGAAAAATAAGAAAAAGAAGAACTCAAGTGAGGAAGCTACAGCTGGGAGTAAAACCATTTCTGGTACTGTTGAGAAGCAAACCCAAGAGGACTCAAAGTCTTCTCAAGTACGGACATACCCAAATGGGCTCATTGTTGAAGAGTTGAGCATGGGCAAACCCAACGGCAAGAGAGCTGATCCTGGAAAAACGGTATGCACGCTTAGTCATAAATTGCACACATAATAATATATGATTACTGCAATGTCATATAGATTATGCAACAAGGTGGGAGTGTGATAAGAATGTGCGTATTCAAAGAATTGACATTGGATAGAAAATGAGCAAAGTAATGCCTTGTTAAATCTATGAGCACCAAAGAATCTACTACATTAAGTAGGAAGTGAACAAGCACCCAAACCATTAAGTTGTGGTTAACTCTAGCTAATTGTCTATGTGAACTTGGTTTGAACCCAAAATCCTATCAGAGTATGCGTCAATGTGTTTTGTGTGTGTATCCCAAATATTTTTGGAGCTCATTATATTGTCTCTGAGTGCAGGTTTTTGTCCGCTACATTGGAAAACTTCAGAAGAATGGGAAGATTTTCGATTCCAACATTGGAAAATCACCATTTAAATTTCGTCTAGGTTGGTGTTTATACTAGATTCAAAAACAATAGCTTTGGAAATTGGTTGAAAATTACAGTGTGCGACTGGTGTGAGTGATACTTATGTACTTGTTGTAACATGTAGGTATTGGACAAGTCATTAAGGGGTGGGATGTTGGCGTTAATGGTATATCCTAATTTCTTACTGCTTTTTTTTCTTTCACATTGTTCAAAAGTGAATCGCGTTGTATTCATTTCGAGTATTTGAATTCCACAGGCATGCGTGTTGGTGACAAAAGGAAGCTTACAATTCCTCCATCAATGGCGTAAGTAAAGTCATTTTGTTATATGTTGATTGTGAATTTGTGATGTTTTGTTTAAACCTTTTTTGATGGGATGATAATATTGTTTGACTCACAGGTATGGAGCGAAAGGTGTTGGTGGTGGCCAGATTCCTCCTAATGCTTGGCTGACGTTTGATGTCGAACTGATTAATGTTCAATAAAACTGCCGAGAGAATTCATAGAATCTATGATAGGGATTTCTGAGGAGTTGTAGCTGCCTAAGATTGTTTCTTTCCTTTTTAACTCTTGAATCTTTTTGAAAAATGGATTTGTGGTTCCCATAAGACCATAACATTTGTTATAAATTTTGTATTGTGTTTTTCCTTGCTTCATTGTTTCCCTCTTCCAGGTACCTTTTGCTGATGTATTTCCACTTGATTAAAAACCAAAATTGGAATCATACAAAAACTGTTTCCATGCTAGATATACTTGCACCCAAATAAGGGACGAAGCAACTTTAAGCCAGATTTTATAGCAACAACAACCCTTACTCTCGTGAACTGTAATGATCTATGATTATAGTGTACCTTGTCGATTAGTAGAATTCAATGATTCATTTTTGGAAGTCTCTCTCACTAGTCTGTAATCAAGGTCTCTCTCCTATCGGGTACAGTTAAGTCACCATCAGAGTGACGAATTTGTCATTTTGGTACCGTCAGAAAGACTTTGACCTATTTCTTGTTCTCCAAGTTCTTTTTGACTGTTATTTATATCTTTTGACCGGTTATTAAATTTTATTATTTTAGAAAAGCAACTCTGATGATACATTTAGGAGGACGTACGATAATCTACTTGGGAAAGAATTATATTAAATATTTTGGTCCCCAATCTATACGCGGACCTCTGGTTTCTGATATTCCTTGGCTTTGATCTACGCCGAATTTCTGTGATTTTTTCACTGTAAATGTTTTTTTTAGGAATTGGAATTTCGCATTTTTGGTGTTCGCTACTAAGTATTTGATTGCTTATTTTAGAGTTTGCAAATGTAGTTATCAATTATGCCTCTATTTACAAAACCTTTTGTGATGTTCATCAACACAATTAAATCTAGCATATATATTACAGAACAAGGATTTTAAGAACAACCAAAGAAAAAAAAATCAGAACAAGGATTGATACATATGAACTAAAAGACTTCCTCAAACCAGAGTATTCAGTTTTTTTTTTTTTTTTTTTTTTTTGCAACACACTACATAGTGAAGCAACATAACATAACTAACCATCAACACTAAAGTTGTTTCGAATAGCAGAATTCACCTTCTCAAGAATCTTTTGCCACTCTGTCTCTTCCCCTGTTTCACACATTTACACTAATCCGTTACATACAAAGTTTTTTTATTATAAGACAAAAGAAAGATAAGTGTAATTAATTACCTTGGTTACATGGTTCACCATGAAGCTTCCTTCTAGCTTCTTTCAAGAACGAAACCACTTTTGGATTCATTCGATTATCTTCCGCTCTGAGACAAATGTCTCCAACTTTCGCAGTGGTCACTTGGTTAATATAAGGACCTTGTTTCCAGAATAGTTTGAAATCACATCCACAAATTTCGTTCCCTTCCTCGTCTCTTTCATGCTTCGTCCTCTCCACCTATACACAAAACCCGTATTATTCAAACCGGAGTTGACATTACAAACACTAAACCGGGAATAGTTTCAAGAGCTCACCGTAACGACGATAGCGTCGTAGAACTTGACTTCTCCGGTGACGGAAGGACACGTGGCGCAGACCTTTGTGCCTTCATGGACCTTGGGACACTCGACGTCTTGCATCTGCTCAGAACAAGCTCGAAACCTCTCTTCAAACTCTAGAATCTCGTCGGAGTTCTTGAAATCGTCCGCCGGATAAAACTCGTCGTGCTCATAAGAGAAGCCGTTGAAGCTGATCATCAAAGCGTCACAGATGTCCGAAACCTCCACGGCGTACCAAGCTTCGTCTTCCGGTGACCGGAACTCTAGTTCCGGCCAGTTTCCATCACACCATTCGACGTCATCGGCGAACTCGCCGGAGAAAATCGTCGGACTAGTCGCAACACTCTGATAAGAAATTAGAGACTTGTGCATCTTCTTTGGATTTTCTGAAAAAGTGATAACGATTGAAGTGTAGTGAAGAAGCCATGCAAACTTGCAAAGCTCTCTTTATAGACCAAAAAGTCTCTGTAAAATTAAACCAAAAAAAAGTCTCTGGAAAAAGTAATTTTCTCTGTTAGCTCGACCAGTCAAAACATACAAATTTACAGTTTTGGCCCTTTTCTAATTGAAACTTTAACTCACATATTAATTATACCTTTTTGGTATAACATACTGAATTGTGGAAAGAATTTGAAAAGTCATTTCTCATTTTATGTATAAAAAAAATAAATGAAAACTTATCTTTTATTATATAAAGTTTGGTATTCAACGTTACTAACCCACATGATTGCGAGCCCAAACGTGTCAAATAATAGATAAAATATTTAATCGGAGTAACTTTACTTTTGGTATAACATACCGAATTGTGGAAAGAATTTGAAAAGTCAATTTTTATATGCTAAATAAAATTTTAAAATATCAAAATTTATTTTACTATATAAAGTTTGGTTTTCAAAGTTACTACCTCACATGATTGTGAGACGTATCAAATAAAAAGTATTATGTTCGATAAGATTAAATATACTTTTGGTATAACATATTGAATTGTTGAAAGAATTTGAAAAGTCCTCATATTCTAAATAAGAGGCTGAAAACTAATCTTATTATTAAATGTTCGTTTTCAAAGTTGGTAACTCAGACGTGTCAAGTGAAATATTAGATGTTCAATGAGATTAACATATAGATATTTTTTTTATCAATTAACATATAGATCTATGTAACAAAAATCATGGAAATGAAATAAGATCAATCCCTTTATTTTTTAATTGTTTTTAAGTTGAAAGTCTAGAAACTTAACAATGTTTTCAATCAAGATTACTAGTGACACCTTTGCTCAACAGAAAAAAAAGAAAAAAAAGATTACTAGTGACATACCAGAACCAAATATAAAGACAAGTATACCAAAGTATACCAATGTAAGCTATTTAAAATCAAAATAATTTATACCTTATCTTGGTTTAGTGATATAACTTGTCAAGAAGTCATCGAAATCTGAGGTCGAATTTGAGAAAGAAATCACAAACAAACATCCATCACTTATCACCATGTTATTTTTTCGAAACTTTTTCTCTCTAGACACTTCTCTCCAGTTCTTATAAATGTCACGCATATCTAACATTCTGCAGTATATATAGAGAATGAAACAAGAAAAACTAACATGGGAGTTAGTGGGTGACAAAAAATAAAACATGAGTTAGTGGGAAGTTACCACCACTAGATCACTAATCACCGATTAACTCAACTAATTCATCCATTATATTCGAACCGATCTTTAACTATACCATATCCATATGTAATTCAGTGTGATACTTCGATTTTGATAGCCTTATTAGTTATTAATTATTACTCCCTCCGTATTTTAATAATTGTCGTTTTAGAAATTTTATTTTTTTGAATTGGATGTCGTTTTCAAATTTCAATGCAAAATTTCTTACTTTTTAATGTTTTATGATGTCATAAAACATTAAAAAGTAATAAATTTTGCATAGAAATTTGAAAACGACATCTAATTCAAAAAAATAAAAATTCTAAAACGACAATTATTAAAATACGGAGGGAGTATTATACATCAATTGAGAGAAATACATATCTATTTGAAAAAATGTAAATTGGAAAGCAAAGTGAAAACTTTTTTTGGAGAGTTTTGCAACCGTAAGTTTGTTTCTAACATGGATACTACAACAATCACAAGAGGAGGGAACCCTAAAGATAAGCAGCTTCTAAACATTCTGTGTTAATAAAACAATCAACCAAAATCTGAAACCCATCAAACCTAACAAATCCGTGAAAAGAAACCGTAGGATCATCAGCTAGGAATCTCGTTGTCAGATTGGCTATCGCCTCCGAATTCTTCGTCCTCACCTTCTAATTCATCGTCATCTTCTTCATCTTCCTCGCCTTCCTCTTCTCCTACCTCTCCACCTCCTCCTCCTACTGGGATGGACGACGAGAAGGGATCCTTGACGTGGTTAACCGAGTTTGTGTAGTAACTGTGAACCGCATTTGTTGTGTTTACATGCGTGTATGAAGTAGTTGGTGCAGGAATAGCAACAGACTTGTTAAGCCTCTCGAATCTCGCCTTCCGTTCTTCTGCAGATATGTTAAAGGAGATAGAAGATGGCTGAGCCCCAAATCTTAGCCGTCTTTCTTTTGCTAGCTCCAGCTGTGACTGCTCTTGACCAGCTATAAAAGTCCCGACCATTACCTGTAATAAATCCATGTCAGACACAAAATATACTCATGTTGTGAGACCACATAATATCTGGAAATTTGAACCAACCTGAACAGGACCAGCAGCAAGAAAGAGACCAGCGAGTCCTCCACCAAAGACACGACCATCTGGTCCTGCAAGGCAAACACTCATACCACCAGCTCTACTTCGAGTTCCCCCAGAGTCATTTTGCATAAACGAACCAGTCAAAGAGAGAATCTCAAAACGACCCTGATCACAATAAATAACAACACAAAAACATTTGAGGGAAATTGAATAGAGAGAAGTGCATTCCTTATACATATAAGAATAGAGAAGAGAGCATTTAGACCTCATAAGTTAGAGTACCGCCGGATGTCATAGATTGACGAAGCGTAACATTAGAGATAGGGCCATTAGCTGAAAGGATGCAGATAGCACGAGATCCTTGTTGAGAGAATGTCATTATCTTCATCGTCACATCCTGCACAAATCCAAATGTCAAGAGATTAGCTTAATAACTGATCATAGTAAACGCTTTGAAGACTATATGATCATATCACGAATGATTATTCAGAAAAAACATACCTCTCCAGCGTTGACGATCAGCACATGAGGAGTAAAGTTGGCACCAACAAAATCAGCAGTTCCTACACCTGCCAAATTGGTATCAACTGAATCCAGACAAGTCAAAATCAAAGTTGAGACAACAAACCATTAAGGTATACACAACGCAGTCTTTAAACTAAAAAAAGAGTAATTAATCTAAGCTGTTTCCTCCCTAATCCTAGAGCTTCTGGGAAATGTTATGATGTACATATTCCAATACTTCCCCTAAAGTCATAGCCTTTTTATTTCTCTTAGCTTCTATGACTTCTGACACAAAAGTTCTCTTCTTATCCCAACATCGTCAAACCCACATATAGATCCATTCCAGTGACATAACTAACAAAACTGCTACACTTATAACAGACAAGTATCGAAGGTTCTAAAGAGATATTTACCAGGACTTCTATCGAATTGGAACATTTGAGACTTCTTGAGCCATCGATTAGACTTGCCACGTCCTCTTCCTCGTTTCCTTGGAGGAAACTCCGACGTCAACGGCACCGAAGATGAGATTGGCATCGGCGATAAAGTCACGGCAAGAGTCCCATCGGGATTATACTTTCTCGGCCTCCCTCTCTTCTTTTTCAGCTGCTCAGAGGAAGTGTTCTCCGCCGGCATTGTTAAGCTAAACGGAGTAGCCGCATTCTCAGTAACGGCTGCTACGGTGGCGGCGGCGGATACAGTGGTGGGTTGGCCTAAAAACGGGTTAGGATTTTCGGGTCTTGGTGGTGGGTCCATTGAGTAACCACCATCAGAAGCAGCAGCAGCTTCATGTTGCTTCAAGCCGAAACTGCTTGTGTTGATGTTGGTTCCTTCTCTCTCTTCCATCCGGACATAAGATCAAGTGATTCTGTTGGGAGAGATTCCGACAAATCAGTAGAGAACCCAGAGATCCTCTCGAATCTTTATGATCACGAAAGATTCAAGATTGCTTCTTCTACAAAGCTCAAGATTCAGAGATAAAGAGTGAAAACACGAAAGATGAGATTTTGTTACAAAAACAGATCAGTAGAAGCTAAGCTAAAGAGAATAAAAACAGAGCTTCCATGGAGGAATGAATCTTAATTTCAGAAAATTCGACCTAAAACATACATAATTATAAGCAAATAAGAAAGATCTAATTTTTTTTGCCTTTTTTTTTTTTTCTAAGGGGGTGGTTTAAGTTGGGGGAGAAATTTCTTTACGAGTGAAGGTGAAATTAGGGTTTTGGCAAGAAATGGAAAGAGAAAACAAAATTAAAAAAAAAATGGAATAAACCAGAGGGGATATTATAATTTATTTTGTAGAAAAAGAAAGAGAGAGAAATAAGGAAAAAATGTAACTGTAGGTTTGAATAAAATAAAAAATCTTGACTTAATTCGAATAATTAATTACCTGGTTAAGAGATAATTAAACTGTTCCGGTTTGGTTGATATTATAGCGTTAAGGTAAATTAGTTTTGTAGTAATTTGGTTACGGACCAAACAAATGGTTTTGTATTTAGTTCTTTTTTTTCTTGATAAATATTTACTTATTTTGTTGGTCAACTAATGTTTTTTGTATTAGTAAGTAAATCTTTTTTGGGATATTAAAATAGGAAAAAAAAATGCTGTAAAGAAGGAGCTAACGTAACGTCTGAGCCATGCCAATTTTTTATTTTTTTTTTGGGTTGCTCTACGATACTAAGAGCATCTCCAACAGCAATGTCTGGAGGAATGTCTCAAGATTAAAAAAATAGAAAATAATATAAAAGTAGGAGAGAGTGTAGACACAGTTTCTGGTTTGAGAAACTTTGAGAAACTGTGTCTCCACTTGTCTTTTTATTATTGGCCAAATTCTTTTTTTATAATTTATAATTTAAATAAATAACCTATTTATTATAAATTGATTAAAATAGTATTTTTGAGACACCCACACATTGTCTGATGGATGGAGATGCTCTAAGATTAAAGATAGAGACATATTGTATCATTTTAGTGTAATGTGGTTGACTAAACATGAACCCTTTGACTAAATATTCCTCCCAAACTCCCACAAACTCTCTGGTCCTTTTACGGACAGGCCCTGTCGAAGGCAGTACTTAGAGAGGGGGTCAGTTGACCCCATAAATTTTTAAAATTCCACTATAAATTAGTAGTAATGATTGTAATGACCCCTATTTAAAAGAAATTTGACCCCTATACAAAATTAATAGTTGAACAAGAAACAGAAAATAATCTAAATACTTGAAAGTTATATATACTCCCACTAGAAATTTAGACCATCATTTTTCTAAAATAATAAATCTTCACCTAATATTATTTAAGTTTTTACAAAACACACAAATAAAAAATGTCAGATATTTGAGTTTTTTTTTTATTTTTTATTAAAAGAATTTTTTCGACCAAATAATTTTCTAGCTCCGCCATTGCCTGTCAGGGTCCATTTCGCATGTCCATGAATCATTCGCACGTTTGATTTATGATAAGATTCTGATGATATAAACCTTTTTATCCTCAATTGTTGTTGTTCCACGGGACTAGCTATCGCATTTTGCTAAAAATTTTGTTCTTAAAATCTAAATTGTCTTAAATGTATCGCAATTAACCATTTTGTTGTATGTTTCTGAAGTATATGATATGTCAAACATCCTAAAATATTGTTCAACTCCACTAACATTTCTAATAAATGGATGAATCTATCTTTTTTTTTCTCTATAATATATGCGAGTGGTAAAACTGTAGAATTAATAGATAAAAATTTGTAAAATCGCGATAATAAAACTAATATGTAGAATGAGATGAAACTGGTAGAATAAAATTGATTGATATATATGTGAAACGAAATTGATAATAAATTTTGTGATTGAAGAATGAAGTATTATCGATATAAACATAGATGTGTAATATTTTATAGTTTGGAACGAAAATCATCCTAAAATACCATAAACCAAGTTTCTGCACAAAAATACTACAATTTTTTAAAAAAATTTCAAAAACTTCACAAATATCTAGATTTTGGAAAAATTCCTAAATTGTAAGAAGAGTTCTTATTGAAGGAAATATGTATGTAAAATTGTCCAGTTTTATCTCATACGAGTTGGAAATAAAAATTAAATACATGGTAATTTTACGAAAAAATAAATTGACGCGGCCGTTCATGTAAGATGCCGCTATTCACATATTTGTATTGACAAAAAAAGTCACAGCCAATTTATATTTATAAAATAATAATATTTATCTAAACAACATACTTTAATTTTATTTTATTTTAAAGAAATTATCCTAATGTTTTTTTTAGCAATTATAAAGCATATGATTCCTTTTAATTCACAATTTATGTTTTTCTTTGTGTGGTTAAAGATTTTTAAAAAAAAAGAGAAAGGAAAGAAATAACATGTTGGGTGGCCAAAAACCCTAAATCCTGACCCGAATACAACAACACCTGACCCGTTTCTTCTTCCGGCACTGAGCAGACACGATGAGCTCGGAGAACGAAGACTCTTCAGCTGTGCGACGGCGCGTGTCCTGCACCAAATGCTTCGACGCTCTCTGGTTCTGCTACTGTAAGTCCTCGTTTCCCATCATCTGATCGCATTCTCTGATTCTACATCTTCGATTTCCTCTCCATTCACCAGCTCCAACTGCAAAATTGTTCTTCCTCAGCTACCAAAATTTGAACTTGATTGAGATTTGATCAATCTTATAACCAATCCTTGCTTTTTGGAATTGCGCTCTTTGATTTTGTAGTCTACGAGCTTGTTTTGCCTGTTATAGACTTAAAAAGCCTTGGTCAGAGATTAGAAATGGATTAGCTTTACACCAATTAAAGGATCTCTGAAACCATTTCCTCAATGTATGTTTTGTTGAAGGGATGTCTAGATGGTCCAACATTACCAGCAATGGCGATGACACAGGAAAAGATTTGGGTAAAAAATGACATAGTCTTAGACTTTTTAGCAAGTTTTATCGCTTTGTCGTCTCCGCTTTTCTTGTTTCTTGAATACGCAAGAGGGAAATTCGATAAATGTTTCGCCTTTTAGGAAAGAACAGCTTAAAAGAACGTCCTTTGTAAATTAATTTTTAGATTTATGTGTATGTTTTGTTCTTATGTCTCTGGTTGCTCATCTGTCTACATCTTCTGTCTGAGGGTCCTATCATTTAGAAACTTATTTCAAAGACCATCGAATGTGTATATATGGAATTTTCTAGTATGTTTTCTGCGTTCTCTTCTCTGTTAAATTATGTTTTTTGCTGTTTATGGTGCATTCACTTCATCTATAATGTTATCTTGGCTCCATTGACCTAATCTATACCTTTTTTATTCCTTTGATATCGAGTGTCATAGATTAACTCAGACAATCTCTTTGCAGCACCGTTTTACCAAATGCAGCAGTATTACCGGGTTGGAAAGCTTGATGATTGTACTAAGAAGTTCTCTGATCTCTTTGATTGTCTTTCCTTGAAGACAAAAAGAGCTTCTGAAGTCGAGGTTTGTAGCTTCTTTAATCTGACAGTTGGTTCATTCTTCATTACTTTTGTCTTTTAGCATCATCTATTGGATATCACATAGACTAGTTTAATCTCAATAACCATGATTTGGAGTTATGTGAATCACACTTCTTTTCAATTATAATTCGAACTCGGTGTTACCTGGTGCAGCTCTTACATTTAGCATCATTTTTGCTTTTGCGGATAAAGATAAACATGGAACAATGTCCTTCTGCACCATGTCCTATATGCACATAAAATTGGTGCAGTTTCTATTGTTTGTGTATGAATGTATCTGTTTTTACCAAGATATTTAAGTTTTGACAATTGCAGAAAATTCTGGAAGAGCAAGAGAAAGCTGCTGCGGAAAAACATATCTGGATTATGCGAACTCAAGAAGAAGCTGTAAGTCATTGGAATGAGACTTTTGGGCATTTGGATGATCCAAATTCTTAGAAGGTACAGTTTCACGCTTTAGATTCTCTACTGCATTCTTGACGGAGATTTTTACTTCCAAGAAACTCGATGTCTGCTAGAGATCTGCAGATTATTCTGCCGGATAGAGCAAGCTTTTTTGTCATCGCTTACCATGAACATTTTGAGCAAACTTAAGTTATACCTCAATCTCCAAAGAAGCGTACCTCGAAAGATGGAGGGATATTTTGAGACCATTTATTGGACTGTGGATGTATTTGGTTGATTGGTAACAACAGAAAATACATTGCTAAATAAAATCTCACTTCTGTTTCAAAAATAGAGCGTCTGTGTTATTGTTTTTTTTTTTTTTGTTTTGGACAATGTGTTACTTTGATTAGATATAGCTTTGAGCAACACTAACATGAGGACGCAAAAACGTTCTTTATTGGCCATTGTCTTAACATATTTGAAGCAGAGAGAGAGAGAGATAGCGAGAGTGATTGCCTATTTGCAGAAAGTATGAAAACAGAGTATATATAATACAACAAGACAATGGTTTTATGCATTGTTGCCTTAGATTCTCATAACATCAAGGTAAGCTTTTCCATCGAGCTCACGGGAGAACAAGCCATTGAAATACTCTTCAGTAGTCACGCTTTTGAAAAATGCAGCCTTGTGCCTTTCCACGAGACTTCTCATCGGACCAATTTCTTTACCAATTCCCGTATTGTGGAAGGTCGCCACAGAAAGCCTCTCTTTCTCTGAGTTCACAACTCCACGATGCTCTATACTTCGGTATGTCCCATTCGTTATGATCTACATTAATTACCATCATCAGAACCATTTACAATGATTTCAATAATAGGCTCTCTCTCGTCCAAATAACTTACCTCTATGATGTCTCCAACATTGACAACGAAAGCATTTGGGAGAGGTTTGACAGAAACCCACTTGCCATCTTTCTTGATTTGGAGACCTTCAACTTCATTAACCTGCAACAGAATGGTGAGTCCTGTAGAATCGGAATGCGGAGATAGACCAATAACCTTATCGGGCTGCGGACAAGGCGGGTAGTAATTCATCCTAATCCTCTGCCCTAACTCATCATCAAACAACTTTTCCATTTCCTCAGGTTTGATCTTCAGTGCACTCGCTAGTTTCGCAAATAACACCTTAGCTATGCTTTTCACTTCAGCCGAATACGTATCTAGTGTATCTCTGAAGAAACAAAAACCAAAATTTTTAACATAGAAGACTTATGGAGTTTGTAAGAATAATTTAAAAAATTATAGCAAACCTTAAGGGAAGAGGTAACTTGGGAAACAAGTGAGGCTTGCGTAATCGAACAGGTTGCATTGTAAGGAAGAAAACGTCTGCCCAATCGAGTTTCTGCTCTTCTGAAACCACAAAAGCTTGTCCAAACCCTTCTATATCTCCTGGTTGTTGCCACAACTTCTTCTTCTCTTCCATGGGAAGGTTGAAGAAATCTTGAATATCGGACTTGAATTTGTCCAAGAAACTTGAGTCCATTCCATGGTTTACAAGCTGTTAAATAATCATAAAGACATGCCACAAGGATATAAATTTGAAATCCATATGCATACACAAAGAAGTGTAAAGAAGAGTTTTTATGGAGCAATTTCGATAAACAGTGTAGCTGACTTGCCTGGAAAAATCCCCATTCTTTACAAGCGAAGTCGAGCTTGTCAATCTCAGAATCCATGGAGGTTGGAGAACACAAAAGACTCATGTCTATGATTGGGATCTGGTTTGTTAGACCAGAATCAATGGCTACCTCGGCTTTGTCTTGATCAGATCTTACATACCTTGCAGGAACCGTCGTGATCATATTCTCCATCACCATCTCTTGAACAGAAGGAACTATAATAGAACTTTGGGTTGCTCCTTTACCTTCCATGGCCGCTTCTTCTTGAAAGATAAAACAAACTGTAAATAGATAATCTCACATCCAATGAAGATTATTGGTTTTATAGAGCTTTTGATAGATGACAAAGTCTATAATGGCTGCAACTCCACATGGTATATATTAGAATAACAAAATAACTGAATAATACTAGTATGCTAGATGCATAGTAGAATAACGAAATAACTGAATAATTTTTAGTGAAACAAACTGTAAACTGAACGAAGTTTTCATAGAATAATTATGTAACGCTGAAAATAAAGTTTAAGTAGATTAATCACTTTTTGTTTTCTCTCGTTAAATTTTTAACACACTGAAGATATATAGCGAAATCATTTTTGTAAAACGTGAAAATTTGATGAATAGTGGCAGGGGGGCGTTTGGGGTGCGCAAGAGGAGCAAATGTACATGGCCCAATTTTTTGAGGGTAAATTTAAAGGCCCAAATTTTTTTGGGGTAAATTTAAGGGCCCAAATTTTTTTTTTAGTATGAAAAACACTAATTTTTAAGATTTTTTTAATATGAAAAGACCCAATTTTTATTTCTTTTTGTATGAAAAAATGCCAACTTTTTAAGATTTGTACAGGGACTCCAAATTAGTTGAGCCGGCCCTGAATAGTGGAATGATGTTTTCAAAATGTGAAAGGGTGAACAAGTGGTACATTATTCGTCTCTAATGCTTACACGAATAATATTAATAGTTTAAGAAAAAGTTACTCTAATTCCGAGAGAAAAATAACTAGTCAAACAAGAAAAATGTATTTGCCCAATTCCTCTGTCGACAAATAGGAGAACTTTTCACAAAAGTTATTTGTTTGACAATTTTTCCTTTCACATTTACTTTTACTTTTCTTCTCAATTTTTGCTTTGAATTCCTCTTTTTTACTAGTCGGATCTACGAAATGAAAAATAAGAATTGTTTAGTACCAAAGGTTTTGGGCTTTTGGCGTTTTGCTCAAAAGACTGGTGCAATAAGTGAAGTACGACGTCGTTGGTGTTTCTCTATGCGGACCACAACACTTGAACTAGTCTTCTTCACTGCTTCGAGAATCACTACTACTTCGGTATGTCCCATTCCTTATAATCCACATAATTTACCAATACCATCATCATATCAATAACTTATTCCAAAGACCATCGCATGTGTCTGTTTTGTCCAAGATATTAAAGCTTTGACAATTGCATAAAATTCTGGAAGAGCAAGAGAAAGCAACATATCTGGATTATGCGTCATTGGAACGAGACTTTTGGGCATTTGGATGATCCAAAATTGTTAGAAGGTACAGATTCACGCTTTAGATTCTCTACTTCATTCTTGACGGAGATTTTTTACTTCCAAGAAACTTGACATCTGATAGAAAAAGCTTAAGTTATATACCTCAATCTCCAAAGAACCTGTTGTTACCAATCAACCAAATACAGCCACAGTCCAATATATGATCTCAAAACATCCTTCTATCTTACACATCAAGGCAATGGTATTATCTTAAAAGATTTGAAATGTAGATCCTAACGTTCTTTATTGGCCATTGTCTTAACAGATTTGAAGGAGAGACAGAGGTTGCCTATTTGGAGAAAGTACGAAAACAGAAAAGAAACAGAGTGTATATAATACAACAAGGCAATGGTATTATCAGTTACTTCCATTAGATTCTCATAACATCGAGGTAAGCTTTTCCATCTAGCGCATGGGAGAACAAACCATTGAAAAACTCCTCAGTGGTCACGCTTTTGAAAAATGCAGCCTTATGCCTTTCCACAAGACTTCTCATCGGACCAATTTCCTTACCCATTCCCATGTTGTGGAATGACGCCACAGAAAGCCTCTCTTTCTCTGAGTTCACAACTCCGCGATGCTCTATACTTCGGTATGTCCCATTCGTTAGGATCTACATTAGTTACCGATACCATCATCAGAATTCAGAACCATTTATTCAAGAATAGGCTCTCTCGTCCATATAACTTACCTCTAAGATGTCTCCCACATTGACAACGAAAGCATTTGGGAGTGGTTTGACAGAAACCCATTTGCCATCTTTCTTGATTTGGAGACCTTCCACTTCGTTAACCTGCAACAGTATGGTAAGTCCTGTAGCATCGGAATGCGGAGTTAAACCAATAACCTTATCGGGTTCTGGACAAGGCGGGTAGTAATTCATCCTGATTCTCTGTCCTAACTCATCATCGAACAACTTTTCCATTTCCTCGGGTTTGATCTTCAGTGCACTCGCTATTTTCACAAATAAGACTTTAGCTATGCTTTTCACTTCAGCCGAATACATATCTAGTGTATCTCTGAAGAAACATAAACCAACAATTAAAGAGCAAAGACTTGTGGAGTTTGTAAGAATGATTTTACAAATTTGAAGCAAACCTTAAGGGAAGAGGTAACTTGGGAAACAAGTGAGGCTTGCGCAATTGAACAGGTTGCATTGTAAGGAAGAACATGTCTGCCCAATCGAGTTTCTGCTCTTCTGAAACCACAAAAGCTTGTCCAAACCCTTCGATATCACCAGGTTGTTGCCACAGCTTTTTTTTCTCTTCCATGGGAAGGTTGAAGAAATCTTGAATCTCTGTTTTGAATTTGTCCAAGAAACTTGAGTCCATTCCATGGTTTACAAGCTGTTAAACAAGCCACAATGATAAAATTTGAAATCCATATGGGGTGTTTAATAAGCTAACACAAAAGAAGAGGGGTTGTTTTGTAAAGAACGAGTTTTTGTGGAGCAATTTCAATAAACAAAAATAGTGTAGCTTCACTTGAGACTTGCCTGGAAAAATCCCCATTCTTTGCAAGCAAAGTCGAGCTTGTCAGTCTCAGAATCCATGGAGGTTGGAGAACACAAAAGACTCATGTCTATGATTGGGATCTGGTTTCTTAGACCAGAATCCACGGCTATCTCAGCTTTGTCTTGTTCAGACCGTACATACCTCGGAGGAACCGCCGTGATCAAATTCTCCTTCACCATCTCTTGAACAGAAGGAACTATAATAGAGCTCTGGGTTGCTCCTTGACCTTCCATGGCCGCTTCTTCTTGAAAGATAATCTCAAATCTAAATGAAGACTATATGTTTTATAGAGCATTGGATGACAAAGTCAACTTAATATCTTAACAATGTCTACAAGAAACAATGTCACATGAATGATTACAATGAGTGAGAAAAAAATATTCTAAGATTTTAGTAAAAATTACTCTGATTTCCATAGAAAAATAAATAGCCAGTCAAACCAAAAAAAAACAAAAAGATTCATGTCTTTGGCCAATTCTTCTGTCGACAATGAGTGAAAAATTAACTGTGATTTTTCCTCGAACATTTTTACTAGTTACTTAGACCTAAGAAATTTGGGATAATCTGTAAAAATTTTGCAAGTTTTTGTACAAAAGAACCAAATAAGATCTCTTAAAAGAAAAAGGAAAATAAGATGCAGAAATAAATGGTTAATCAAAGGTTTTCGCGTTTTGCTTAAAAGAGTGGAATACGTGGAATATGACGCGACGCCGTTTTAGTAGATTGTTGTTTCTCTGTGGACCACACATTTGAGCGAGTCTTCTTCAGTCTCCACCACAATTCCTTTCACTCTCACCGCTTCGAATTCATGGAAACTGCTCACCCATTGATTCTGTTCTTCAACCGTCGTCATGGCGTTGCTCGCTCTTCCGCATTTAATCCCTCACCGTCTCCGGCGGAATCATCGGAGGAACCAATGCAGATGTTGTTCGTCTTCGGCAACCAATGAAGGTTCCACGGCGGTTGTATGGTTTAAACATGACCTTCGTGTTGATGATCATCCTGGCCTCCTCGCTGCGTCCAAGCACAGTGCCGTCATACCTCTCTACGTCCTCGATCGTCGCATTCTATCGAGTAAGTTCATATACATTCCAAATGCTAGATTGATTACCGGAACAAATTTGAATTTATCTTGCTCTTAGCCTGAGCTCAATACGGATATCTTAAGAATTCTCCAGATGTTTTAGTTGATGAACCTCTGCTTAGTTTTATAGCTTGTAGAATGGTTTTGCATAGATCAAGTAGCTAGAATCCCATAGGCACAATCCTCCATTTCCAAGAGTTACTTGATTGGGTATCTAATCCAACAGCTTATCTGTATCTAGGATACACAACGGACACTTTAGAGCTAGCTATTATAGCTTTGGAAGACTTGAGAAAAACCTTGAAGAAGCAAGGATCAAATCTTATGCTCAGATACGGGAATGCAGAAAATGTCATTGCAGATCTTGTCAAAGAGGTAACTTCACGGGTATAATTGAGCACAATTTTTTCAGGCGAGATCGAATAACCATTTGTCACAAGTACGTGCTGGATTGCTACAGGTACGAGCTCACTCTGTTTTTGTGGAAGAAGAGGTAGAATACCATCTGTGTAATGTTTTGGACGGTGTTAAGAAAAAATTGGAAGGCGTTTATTTATCTGGAGAAGGAAAACCACCGAGGATTGTTTTTTGGCAGACTCCTTTTTACGAGAGCCAAGTACGTATTTGCTTCTCTTGCAATGTCGGTTTTTGCATTGAGATTTGGACTCGGTTACTTATTTGACACATTTTTGGTCCTCCAGAGTTTGACGGATCTACCACAATCTTGGGAAGAGTTTAAGAAACTAAAGCTGCCTATCTCTTTGCCAGTTCCTGCAGCAAGATTTTCATCTCCAGGAAGTGAACTGCAATGGGGTAAGCTTTTCTTCAAAATTCATGGAGTTGGATCTCTTAAATGAGTAGTTTCATTAGATATCTGATTTGTGAGCCTTTTAACGCTAGGGGAAATGGTAAATGAAACATGCTCCAGGTTCTTTGCCAACGCTCGATGACCTAAAGGATTATTTGAAGGAAAGCTTATGCGAGAAAGAAAATAACTGGAGGGAAATGGCACAGGCATCTGCTGAAAGAGTATTAATGGAAAGGCTTGGTAATTTGAAGGAAAGCAGTATGGAGCCAATTGTTGATGGAAGTTTAGGGAAGAAGGTTGACAATTCTGCTTTTGTCACAAGTAAAAGAGATACTGTTGGAGGTGGAAATGAGACTGTACTCAATGCTCTAGCAGGATACTTGAGGTACTTGGAGGGTACAAGTCGAGATGACTGGCAAGAGTACGTGGCTATTCTTAATTCTGACGTTATTGTGCTTCTCAGATGCATATCATATGAAAGTGGGATGCTTCTGGTCTATCTTATAACTTGTTGAAGAGTGATCGGCGTTGGTTTTGATACTGACCAGGGTTCATGTGAGACTTCGTGATGCCGAGATTAGGCCTGGAGCTTCATTTTTCAAACTTTTTGGACCTGTCCTCTGTCTTGGTATTGTATCCAGAAGAAGTGTTCACTATGAAGCAATCGAGTATGAAAAAGAAAGGAATGCTGGATTTATTTCTCCCTTTGGATATTCAGCTGCCACCGTGTCTGCTGCAACCGATACTGTGCGCTCTATGGAGGTACAAAGACTCACAGACGTGATATCTCTATGCTCTTACTTTCTTTTCCAAAATATTTGAAGCTGTTGGATTTGTTTTGGCAGTGGTATTATCTCCTGGCTCTAAATAGAGAGAGGATTGATGAAAAAAGGCTCGCCATAAGGATTTGGAGATGGAAGGGATATCTTATTCAGGTTTCTGTTATTACTTATATTTCTCCAATGGCCTACATTGGCCGTTTGTTTAATAACACTTCTTGATCTTTTTATATTGCTTATGGAATTTAAAGAGAAATCACTTCCTTGTTTCAGTACACAGTGGTTGGTAATGAAGGCCCTGCCGTTCTTCTTGTGCATGGCTTTGGTGCTTTTCTAGAGCATTACCGCGACAATGTAGACAACATTGCAAATAGCAAAAACCGAGTATGGACCATTACAGTCTTGGGTTTTGGAAAATCAGAAAAGCCAAATATCATTTACACCGAGCTTTTGTGGGCCGAATTGCTGCGGGATTTTATGATTGAAGTAGTTGGGGAACCAGCACATTGCGTAGGGAACTCAATCGGTGGTATGCACCCTAAGTTACTGAGATGTAATATATGCGTAAGGACAATGGTTAAGATACTCATCTAATTGTATATATATGTTTTTCCTTTATCAGGGTATTTCGTTGCATTAATGGCCTTTCTTTGGCCGGCCTTGGTTAAGTCTGTCGTCCTTGTTAACAGTGCTGGCAATGTGGTACCTGGATACTCTCTTCTCCCAATCTCTAGAGTATGTATCATTTGAATGAATGAATATCTGAGTTTTCAGATTTTTTTGGACAAACATAAGAGTTTTGGCTCAGGAATTAAGTTATTAACTAATTATCACATCCTATTGTCCTTCTTTTTTTAGGAAAGGCGAGTTCCATTTGGTGCACAACTGGGTGCTCGACTTCTTCTCTTTTTCCTACAATTCAATGTCAAAAAGCTATTAAAGGATTGTTATCCAGTTGTAAGTAATATGAAGATTTCGACATCAGTATGAGAAAGATAAATGCTCATCATTGTGCCGAATTTCTAACCCAACTACTTGTTTATGATGCAGAACCCTGCGAGAGCTGATGACTTTCTCGTCACTGAAATGCTAAGAGCAGTATCCTTTTTTTTTTTTTTTGCATTAATTGATTCATGATCTACAAGTAAAATATTGATGATAGTGACATTACCTTAAAGCACACAATAGTCTCGAGACCCCGGTGTGGTTATGGTCCTAGAAAGTATCTTCGGCTTTGATCTTTCGCTTCCTTTGAATTATCTCCTCAAAGGGTTTGAGGAAAAAACTCTAGTAATACAGGTATCAAGATTTCAAACATTGTTTGGATCCTCATTCTAACTTCTATTAGGGATTACACAGGATCAATATTCATCAGTTTCATTCATTTATTAGGGGATGAAAGATCCCATATCGGATCCGCAGAAGAAAGTGGCCTTACTGAAGGAGCTTTGTCCAGCGATGGTAATTAAGCAAGTTAATGCAGGTAAAGCAAAAAGCTAACTGCTAAAAACCCTATACACCTTCAATATAGATTGTGTATATATCATTCTTCTTGACTCTTGTCTCATTTGCATGTATAGGTCACTGTCCCCACGATGAAATCCCAGAAGAGGTAAATCCGATTATCTGCGAATGGATAGTGAAGGCCACTAGTGATGATCAAGAAGAACTAAAAGCCTCATCATCCCAGCAAATTTGCCACAGTAATGAACAAAACTAAGGATCTGGTCTGCAGAAAGCAGTTGTTGAAATGGTATAGCTTGGTTGTGTCACCAAGACATCGTCATGGATTAGATGTCATCAACCCAAATGCAAGAAACATGAATAAGTTAAACCAATTAAAAGGGAACCGTCATTTTTCTTTCTGACTATATATATATATATTCTTTATATATATATATATTCTTTGTTTACCTTTATCTTTTCGTAAGCCTGAGTCCGTAATTACAAGATTTATTTATATATTCTATGGCTTTTTAGCTTGTGTCCAGTGTTTGTCCCCTCCGAAATTTGCTTATCTCTGCCCCATGTGGGAGACTGGGAGTGCACTGCGTTTAAGCAACATTCAGAATTTCAGATTATGGAAGTAGGGACAAGAAGCTGTGGGTGGAACACACGTGCTGTTTTGGGAGGCTAAAAACGACACAGCGTTCGCGTCTTTAAATGGTAAAACTTTCACGTTCGTTTTTTGACCTATTCTTATTTTTTTGCTAATAAATATTCGCAGAGGTGGCTTTGTGAAATACAAACACAAATCCCACCAAAACGGTGTCGCGAGAACGTTGAAGAAATTAATTTGGCGCACTGCTCCAGCATTATTTTATTCTTCGTGATCTGTTTTTTCGACGATATTTCTTGCTAGATTCTGAAAATCGGAAAATCCAAAATCGATACCTGAAGTTAAGGAAATCGCAGACAAGTGGAGGAAGAAGACGACGAAGAAGATGTGGAGACGCGTGGCTCTACTTTCTCCGATGATTTCTTCATCATCGCGATCCCTTACGCTTAACCAGGTTCGATTTTCAATCCCGATCGCTTTTTGTCCGGGAGAAATTCAATCGTTGTCTCTATCTTTGCTATAACTTTGATTTTGTGGGTTTAACTCAGTTCATTACTTATTTCTTCATATTCTAGGCAGCTTCTGGGCTCAAAGTTGGGGAATCTTTTGCAACAGACATAATTAAACCGGTATATAGATCAGGAAAACCTCAATTAATTTGTTTTTTTTTGCCGTTAATTGTGTGTTTTGTGTTAAATGTGTTTTATTATCTGTCACAGGAAGAACGAATTTTACCGCCGAAAGAGAAAGCTCCATTTATTACATTTGTACTAGGTCAGTTTTGGATTCTGGTGTTTAATATGTTGGAACCTATGAGATGGATCTATCTAGGTTTCTATTTGAGTTTCCTATGAAAAAAGTTGAAGATGATATAAACTCTCACTTGTTCTTCAGTCATGGGCACACGATCTATAGTAATCCATTCATGTGAAGTAAATAGACATTTGGTCATTTGTATCAAGCTTTAACATTTGAACAACTTGAATATAGTCTGATGGATTTCAAATATCAGGAGGTCCTGGAAGTGGAAAAGGTACACAATGCGAAAAAATTGTTGAGACTTTTGGATTGCAACATCTAAGTGCTGGAGATTTGCTCAGGAGGGAAATCGCAATGCACACGGAAAATGGGTAGGAAGATGAATTTCTATATATCCAATGTATTATTTACTAAGAATGCCTCAAAAGTTTGTGGTCATCTCATAATGAGGGGATCCCAATTTCAGGGATATGATTCTGAACTTGATTAAAGATGGGAAAATTGTACCTTCAGAAGTTACAGTAAAACTAATACAGAAAGAGCTGGAATCGAGTGACAGTCGCAAGTTTCTCATTGATGGCTTTCCACGAACTGAGGAGAACCGTGTTGCATTTGAGCGCATAGTAAGTAGTGTTCTATCTTCTCTTACATGAATATACTCTTGCAACAAAGCTTTGAACATGAAATAGCTCCTTGATACTATTGCAGATAAGAGCAGACCCTGATGTAGTACTGTTCTTCGATTGCCCTGAAGAAGAGATGGTGAAACGCGTCTTGAATCGTAATCAGGTGCTTATTTCACAGTACTCTTCCTGTAATATTTTTTCAGTTAACAGTGCCATGAAACTGATTCCTTGCTGATGCAGGGCCGAATTGATGATAATATAACTACAATGAAGAAGCGTCTGAAAATCTTCAATGCCTTAAATCGTCCTGTCATTGACTACTACAAAAATAAAGGAAAACTCTACACTGTGAGTTCTTTGCAAACATTGATGACTTTACTGATTTGATATTTTGGGTGTGGAAGGTTGAAGAAGCTGTTGATAATGTTTGATTCAGATGCCTTATTTGATATTTTTCATCTTTGGTGCAGATTAACGCAGTAGGAACAGTAGATGACATATTCCAACATGTTCTACCTATTTTCAATTCATTTGAGGTATACATTATCTGTCTCTCTCACTGCATTTCAATTCCAAAAGTTTTTCTTGTCTGCATCATCCAGACAGTAGGCAATCAGGCATCATCCAGACATCATGATTTGATAAAGATTGTATGCCTTTAGAACTTGGCGAGAAAATCATGATTAATCCGTTCTTCGCACAGATCAATCCATATTTTGAGTAGAACAAGATTTGTGTTAACACCTGCAATTTTTGTGTACAGCAATTGAAGGAGAGTAGTCATGTAAATCCACAATCCCATCTCGGTCCGAGTTTGGTAGAAAATTCATCTTGACAAAATACGACCAGTCTGAAATTTGTTCATTACTCTTGAATTTTGATGCATTATATGCAATTCGCATTGCATCTTTTTGTTTGTTGTACTTTGTAGTAGTATCATAAGGTAAACAAACGAAAAAAAGAACCAAAAAAGTATGTAACTTCTAAGAAATTTATTTAATGTATTCTCATAAGACTCTGCTTCCCTCCATTTATCGAATAATCAACTGAGGAAGAAAAATTGAGAAAAGAGAAGAAGATGGTGAGTATCGTTGTACACAAACCAAGCTTGTCTTATCCATCTGTATCGTCTTCTTCAATGAAAAAGAAACCCAGACATCACCTACAGTTGAAGCAACATAGACAAAATGAATACAACAACAGTGGATTCACTTCCCTCTCTTTCACCAAACCATCTCCCACTCCTCTCTTGATCGGAAAACAATCGATTCACCGGACCCAACTCGAAGCTTTAGACTCGGTCATAACAGACCTCGAAACCTCCGCTCAAAAAGGTATCTCAATCACCGAACCAGAGATCTTCGCTTCTCTTCTCGAAACATGCTACAGTTTAAGAGCTATTGACCATGGCGCTAGAGTTCATCACCTTATACCTCCATACCTCTTGCGCAATAACGTGGGAATTTCGTCAAAGCTTGTTAGGCTATACGCGTCTTGTGGCTACGCGGAGGTTGCACACGAGGTGTTCGATCGAATGTCTAAGAGAGAATCATCACCTTTTGCTTGGAACTCTCTTATCTCTGGTTACGCTGAATTGGGTCAGTACGAAGACGCCATGGCTCTTTACTTTCAGATGGCTGAAGACGGCGTAAAACCAGACCGGTTCACTTTCCCACGTGTCTTAAAGGCTTGTGGAGGAATTGGGTCTGTTCAAATTGGAGAAGCAATTCACCGTGATTTGGTTAAGGCAGGTTTCGGATACGATGTCTATGTGCTCAATGCTCTTGTTGATATGTATGCGAAATGTGGCGACATTGTTAAAGCAAGGAATGTTTTTGACATGATTCCTAACAAAGACTATGTTTCTTGGAACTCCATGTTGACTAGTTACATTCATCATGGCTTGTTACACGAGGCGTTGGACATTTTTCGTCTAATGGTTCAAATTGGGATTGAGCCTGATAAGGTTGCTATCTCCAGTGTTCTAGCTTGTGTTTTGTCTTTCAAGCATGGACGTCAGATACATGGATGGGTGATTAGGCGAGGGATGGAGAGGGAGTTATCGGTTGCGAATGCTTTGATTGTTCTATACTCAAAAAGGGGACAAATGAGTCAAGCCTGCTTCATTTTCGATCAGATGCTCGAGAGAGATACTGTATCTTGGAATGCTATCATCTCTGCTCATTCTAAAGATTCTAATGGTTTCAAGTATTTTGAGCAGATGCAACGTGCTGACGCTAAACCTGATGGTATCACGTTTGTCTCTGTTCTATCTCTCTGTGCTAATACAGGAATGGTCGAAGATGGAGAGAGACTGTTCTCTTTGATGTCAAAGGAATACGGGATAAACCCAAAGATGGAACACTATGCGTGCATGGTGAATCTCTACGGAAGAGCAGGGATGATGGAAGAGGCTTACTCAATGATTGTTCAAGAAATGGAGTTTGAGGCTGGTCCAACTGTTTGGGGAGCTTTGTTATACGCTTGTTACCTCCACGGAAATACAGATATAGGAGAGGTTGCTGCTCAACGTCTTTTCGAATTAGAACCTGATAACGAACATAATTTCGAGCTGTTGATGAGAATTTATAGCAAAGCAAAAAGAGCAGAGGATGTTGAGAGAGTAAGGCAGATGTTGGTGGATAGAGGATTGGAGACATAAACTGGTTCTAACCAAAAGGTACATATGAGTTTATCTTCTTAAATCAGCCCATGTGATGTCATATCATGTTGAGTTATGATCTTACACACATACACAAGAGACTTGTTTGTTCATAGAGAAAAATATCACATGACGTGTGTGAACGCGTCTGATTGGTTAGCTGTTAGAAGTGATTTCTGCTTTCTAGATTCTCGTGGGATGTCTTTTGTAAGATCTGACTTAAACTAATGTCATCACTAGATTCTACTTTTCCTGCTGCATTATTCAATTGATAAGCTCTTTCTCGTGACCAGTGCTTCATATGGTTTATACACATGGGTTTAGTCACTGGTCACGTGCATTCGGACCCACAACTTGCAATATTTAGAAAGCTAGGATCCAAATTGTTGTTAGTAGATGAAGACACACAGTTACAGCTCTTATCCTCTGTCATTGGTATTCACATTGCTGCACATTTATTGATATTCCAACCAACTCCCATTTTTGTTCTAAATAAGAAATAGGGCTTTGTGTGTGAGGATTTAAGGATCAATGTATCTGCATAACTGCATTCACACATTCATTAGTCTTTTATCTATAAAACCCTGGACGCTTTTGCTGCCACTCCCACATTTAGTTGTTGAATTAAAAAACTCATTTGTGTTTGGAATCCAAAATGGCAAGAAGTTTCGACCTTTCTTTGATTCTCTTTGTTCTGTATCTGTCCACTGCAGCAATAGCCATGGCCAGAAACCTTGAAGAGGAATCAACTGGTGATACGGAGTTCATTAAAGCCTCTTGTGAGACGACGTCTTACCCGGACCGATGCTTCCAGTCCCTGTCTTCATATGCAAGCGAGATCAAGAAGCAGCCACGTAAGCTTGTTGAGACAGCGCTTGCCGTTAGCATAGCCCGAGCAAAGTCAGCCAAAACCTACGTCTCAGAGATGACTGACTATAAGGGAATCACAAAGAGGCAGCACGAGGCTGTAGCGGACTGTTTAGAGGAGATGGGAGACACTGTTGACAGGTTGAGCAATTCGCTGAAGGAACTGAAGCACCTGGAGGAAGGTGACAGCGGAGAAGACTTTTGGTTCTGTCTGAGCAATGTCCGGACGTGGACAAGCGCGGCTCTGACAGATGAGACCACATGTCTTGATGGGTTTGGAGGGAAAGCCATGAATGGGGAGCTGAAAAGCTTAATTAGAACACGCATTGTGAGTGTGGCGGAAGAGACGAGCAATGCCTTGGCTCTGATCAATGACTTTGCTTCCAAGCATTGAAAACATTTCAAAGGGATATGGTCTTGGGGACAGAGCTTTTCTCTTGGATTTGGTTTTTATTGGGCTTTGAAGAAATGTGCTTTGGTTTGGTTTTGAGGCATTTCAGTTTCTCTTACCCTGTTGTTGTATCATCTACGGTCTACATAGTTGATGTTGATTTTTCTCAATGTTTTAAAATAGATTACTTACCAAACAAACTTTTTTTTTTTTTTTTCAAAAACAGTAAGAGCACCTCCCAATGGAGGTTCTTATGTGAGTATCAAAAAGAATATTGATATAAAAATGGGTGGATATCTCCAAAAGTTAAGAATCTTTACCAAAGTTTCTCATTTGAGTAAAGATTTCTCAACTTTTTGAGATACACATTCAATTTTGTAGTATTGCCTCCAGTATGGCAAAGCTTTGGTTAATTGAGAAAAAGAACACTAATTGTTCTAGCACTTGTCATGTATGTGTCATAGAAAACTTGCAAAAGCTTTTGAAAATTGTTAAAAATATTTTATAAATTTTCTAAAACGAATCCTATCTTAAAGAAAATTGACAAAAATAATCATATAGAGATTTTAGAGAGGAGAATCATAAAAGAAAATAATAATTTTATTAGTTTGAACTATTTCCACTATCGACTAATTTTATTAGTAATGTGTGAATCGTTGATAAATAAAGGGCACAAAGTCATAAGGTCAACGGAAAATGGTCCACATGGAACCGTTCATATGAAATACGAATCCTTCTGACATGTTGATTGTATATACTTACTGTATACTCAAGCCTCGGTGCAATATTATATGAATTTTTTTTAATGTATCAATTTTATCAACAACAAACGAGTTTAATTTGGGATGATACAAAGAACAATTCTTGGGTTCACCATTCACCTCCTCTAATTTTAGCCAATCATTATGCCATGTCATATGACATTTTTAAAAAAATTAAAAATTAAACAAACAAATATAATAAATTAAAAAAAAATCATCAACAATAAAATCAATTTAAGAACTTAACGGAGTCGTCTTCTTTTCTTTTTAGGTTTTACAAACTATTCGGTGGCCATTGTTATGTTAACTTGTTTTGAATAACTGAGTCTTAACTTATTCATCCTCTTTTGTGGTATTAGAACCTTCAAATTCTGGAATTGTTCCATCTGCAACGTGCGTTACACAATTAATATTTTTCTAAACTTTGGGAAGGTATATTCTACATCCAGAAAACTAACGCTCTTGTATCTGTAATAAGAATTTTAATTTGAAAATTTAGGATCATGTGAATGCAATCAATTTGTATAGGATTATGTATGTTTTTGTTTGGGGTTTGGAATTTTCTTGTCTTAGTCTAGTCTCGTAATTTTGTTTCGGGTTTGTAAATTTAGGATCATGTGTCTAGTCTCGTGAAAATCACATACATATTGTAAGTGCATATAATAATCTTCTTTCTTCTTTCCCATTATTTTCTTCCAAGCTTGTCTTGCCTAGTTTGTTGTCGTATGAAAGAGAAATTGAAACTCCAATCAATAGTACTAGTAAATAATACTCCTACTAACATAAAAGAAAGAAGGCACTTTTATGTGCTGCCGGGAAAGTTGCAGAGAAGCAAATATAAAAAGTTCAAATTGATGACTATATGCTTATACCAATGGCTAAAATTGACGATAAAAGATCACAAACAAACTCAAATATATGTATTCTCGTTTTTACAAAAACACAATCCGACATTTCAAGTAGAAGAGACGGTCTTGAAGGAGTCGCGAAGGTGGGTTAATGTATCGTGGTCGCAAATAGACGTAGAGCTTGTTCTTGGTGCAAGTGACTGTGATCAGGCTGTGCTTTCCAACTCCATCGATACATATAGTAGATCTTCCCTGTTTCCTCATTCCTCTTCTCCGACACCACTTTGTCGGTGCCGGCTATCAAATCATGCAGCTCCACGTCTGACAAGGCCGTGTTGTTCAGAATCACATCCCTCGGCGCCGGCTATCAAATCCTTCTCCGTCTTCTTCTTCGGGTTGTAGAAATCACATGTTTCTAAAACCTAAAAAGAAAAGACGACGACTCCGTTTAGTTCTTCAATTGATTTTTTTGTTAATGATTTTATTTTTATAATTTGTTTTATTTGGTTGACAAAAAGAAATTATTTTATTTATTTATTTAATTTAACTTCTTTTTAAGTGTTATATGACATGGCATAATGATTGGCTAAAAGTAAAGGGGGTGAATACATGGGTTCACCCCTAGGGGTGAACCCAAGAATTGTTCTGATACAAAAGCATTATCAAGTTATATTTTGGACATATCAATTGACTTTTATACTTTGGTACAGCTTTGGTGTATATCATCCTGTAGGGATTTCAATATATTTTCAAAACCTTTAACGGCGCATTTTGAAAAAATATACTTCAAATTTCAAAAGCTTAATTTGTGAAACATTCGAGATGGATTCTGAATATTTCCAGAACTCTTTCTATCTAAGCTTAAAAGTGAACCTAAACATGGCCACGTACTATATGCGAATTCAATTAATTCGTAAACGTTACACGTTGTGAAAACTTCGAATTTAGATTACTATTTATGGCATAAAGAAAAGAAAACGTACACATGCACATGCAAAAAGATCGAGGTGCCGTGAATATAATGGATATTCATCAATAACTTAAATAATGAGTAAGAAGGGCTAAAGTATTGCTTGTAGTCTTTGAAAGCTGAGAAACAGCCTTCTTCACCTTCTTCTTTGTTTCCACATTTACTTTCCCTTCCTCGATTCCGTCCGTACACGTGCCCTCGTCGGTCAACGCCGAGCTCACCCACGTCATCACGTTCTTTAAATGCTCCTCCGTAGTTTTTCCTCGGCCTCTGACATACTTCATCTCGGCGACCGCTTGCTTAAGCTCGTCGATAGTGTCCTTCATCTCGTCCACGCAGTCCTTAAGGATCGAGACCTCGTGGCTTTTGGCGGCTTTGGCCTTTTGAAGAAGGTTAGAGACGACTAATGTGGAATTTTTGGCGTATTTGACGTTGAGGTTGAGTGATGTTGTGCAAAGCTTGATTGGGTCAGACTTGATGGTGGCGGAGTACGAGGACAATGAGTTATAGCACATCATAGGATATGTTGTTGAATTGCATGCCGTTGTTACGTACCTTGTGTGGTTTTGGTACGTGCCTGGTGGAGTGGCTACTGTATTTGGAAAGCTTGATGAGTTGATGAAAACCATGAGTGTTAGAGAGAGTGTCACGAAACGCGACATGTTTGTTTCGGGAATTGAAAATAGCTAGCTTTTAGCAAATTGTGAAACTATGGATTATGCGTATATATATATAGAGACATTGGCTTGTTAATTTATTATTGGAACCATGTGACATCTCATGCTGTTTGTTCCATTTCTCTCCCCGATCATGAACCAGTTATCTATATATGTTAGTCTCGTTTCTCTCTAATCATTATGCTTTGACATGTAAACAATCATTAGAAGATTGTCATAATTTGCTAAACATGGCCGGTTCAAATCAAACGACCGTCTGCTTATCTGTTTATCATAATTTACAAAACCTAGGATCTCAAATTACACCAAACAATATTTAGAAGCTTTTCTGTGTCCAAATCAAATTTGAAGATTTGTAACGTTCCGGTGTTTAAGCAAGGTAGCACGTGATGTGATATGATGTGCATGTAACATGAACGTGGACAGATCTCTTATTTCGGAGAAACATCAACTTATTTTTTTGTTTAAGATATTAGTCATAATTCTTCTGTAAATTATTAAGAGAGACAGATCGACGTATCATGTACATTATAGAGAATTGATATGCAAATTAGCTCCGAGGCATGATTTATAGTTTTATACATAGGTGTTTAGTGGCTGGAAATTGCACATGATTTATATAAAAAAAAAATTTAGAACATTTAAAATATTAATCAGCTAAAGAAAAATATAAAGCTGTGCACAAAATTGCAAATTTTAGAACAAAGTGATACGAATATGAGAGTTGTTTTTAGAACTAAAAGTTCTTCGAGAAGTATTTTTTTTTTCTAAATGGGAGAAACATGAAGGATGTGGATGGTTTAAAAGAACAGGAAAAGAAAAAAATGAAATTTTTTCATTACAATTGAGAAGATTCTAAACCATTTTTGGCCTAAAACAACAAAAGAACCAAGAGTTGTTCACATCCATGGGGATAAATAATTCTAAATATCATTTAACGTCTACTACAGTCTACAGCCGAACTAGTTGGAGATCAGAATAACAGACCGTAGAACCTCACTTCCCCGGCAGAAAGATATAAAAAGGCTTAGCAAAATGTCATAACCGAGGCGAGCAACACCATTAGCATTAGCTTCAAGTGTCCATTCAGTATAGATGTTGCAGCTGAGTGGTGTTGTTCCCTGCAACAATCACCATAAAGAGTGTTAAGATTCTCATCATCTAAAGGCATAGCAAAAGAGAGAGAAAAAAAGTTTCAGATGAATACTTCTGCAAGTTCTTAAGGGCACCACAGTAAAGGACATTGTCAGGAGGATCCATCTCTGTCTTTCCATCCTCTTCGGGGTTTGTGATCCGCATATAAGTTTCTTCACCAAGATACCATCTGTCAAGATTCTCTACTCGAATGTTCCATACTCCGACATTATCAAGGGAAATAAGTACAGCCGTCCATCCCCCTGGGTATACCTAAATAACAAGAGAACAATTAAGAAACCCTGCAGTTCAGAGTAATTTTGAGTGATGCTACGGTGTATGAACCTCGACTGTGCTTCTTGAGATGGCATCATAGTTGTTATATGAACCCTTTTTGTCTTCTGACCAGATACCAAAGTCCATCCTGGATTAACATGGTACATCAACACCAGATTTTTTATAGATAATTAAACGGAGGAACAAGAATAGAAGACAAGGTGCCAAGGTTTCTCTTACCCAACAACAAAAAATGAATAGCCATCAACATGGAAGCTCTGGATCTTGGTGTCGTTATTCTGGAAAATAACTTGTATAAAGCCCTTGTATGTTGCGTTGATCATAGATGTGTCCAAACGAAGAGGTCTATTAAAAGGTCTGTCAGGGAAGTCCAGCTTATAAGCTCCTTTCACTTTATTGCGATCCGCAAGCCTCACTGGAGTGCTTGGATTCACAAATGAAATCCCATTAAGTGTAGCACGAAGTGCCCCGTTAATTGTTGTTGGAGGCAAACTTCTCAAAATGTATGTGT